TTAAAAATTGAGAACCATTTATACTTTTCAGCAAAATGCCATAAAAATTATACATTTATCCATTAATTAAATTCTATGCGTTTACAAATTCGGAACAATGAGATAAATTTATGGAAATACCTGAAAAGCAAAATATCAAAAGCGTTATTCCATGAATGCATATCAAATGCGTGATTAAAATGACTTACGGGCTTTTTGCTGCTTTGAACGCGACTGAACCTGCTTTTTTCAAGAACCTTGTAAAGCTTCCCCATCCTCCGGAAACATCGACAACAAACAATGCTACCAAAGCTAGAATAATTGCAGTCTTCATGATTTTGTTTTCTGAAAGTAAATGACTTAATCAATGAAAACAAAAGGAATTTATATGGAATGCAATGAAACCGAAAAGACTTGTGTTATTTGTGAAGTCATTGTAAATGAAATGAATTCGAACTGAATAATTGTGAAGATTTAGGAAGTTTCTTGATAAAAACAAAAGCAGAGTAATTTATTAAAACTTAAACTTCTATATTGTAAGGATTGTTTGAAAAACTGAGTTTGCAAAGGCAGAACTAATAAAATACTCACAATTACATTACAAATATAATATTTCTGAAATCTCACCTGAGTCTTCTTCGTCTTTGAAAAGTGAAGTAATGCAAAATATGTGTATTGTTCCCTTTTTATAGAATTCCTTGTTGGTTGACGGGAAATTCGTCATTGAATACCCATCTGGATTTATGATTTGATTACTTTTGTTGATCATTAAGACAGGATTTAGAGTCGTTCTGAGGAATAATGTGATGACTAAGGAATAAGCGGAGAAGACAATATATTGTTTTCCATACGTTTATGACAAGATGGTTTATCTTCCGTTTTGTGAATTTTCACATTATGAAAACCATAATCATTGAATGACTGAACTGATATTTTTTGTACATTGTGTAAAATGAGATGACTAGTTGTGATTTAATTATATTTTTATTACCAAAACCCAGTACATAAAAATTCGTGATCCAGATATACACCAATATGTTGAATAAATAGCGTTAGCACTCCAGCGTGAGGTATACCGCTGTATTACGCCTCCCTCGTGAACACACCTTTGCATGCATTTATTTTATAAACACTTTAATTGCCGCATCTGAGTAGGCTATATATAGCGGTAGACCTCACGCTAAAGTAGCAGCAAAATATGTTAAAAATTTTCTTCTTTATGGGTGGAATCAGTTCTGTTTTTTTCTATTTTTATATATAAAAAGCTTCCCTCATGGTCATATTCTGAAACTACTAGGCTTGATATAAAACTTAATATGTATAAAAAAGATTTATTGAAAAACTAGTGAGAATACATTGTTCGCTAGTCACACATACTTGTTGAAGTTCTACAATCATATCATTTTTATTAGATTTTAATTTTAAAAAAATTATTTAGTGAAATGAAATATTACCGAAACCGTTTGGCGGTTTACTTCTATCGGGATAATCGAAGAAGTGTTACTGCAGCAAGACATTTATCTGGTTCATGCAACATAAAATTTATTCAATGAGACATTTACTAGATACTTTTCATTTCATATACTTGGTATAGAAGATCAAATAATTAAAATATAGCGCAATTTAGTTAATCTTTAGATGACTCAAGTTAAAAAGATTTTTTTTTAAATCAAATCAGAAAAAAGGGACCAAAAGGAGACTAAGTTTATATTTTGATTTATTCAAATATTTTCTACAAATGTAGGAGTTTTTACCAAAAATATTTATATGTATATATTTTCAACATATATTCAATTTTGTATTAATTAAGCATAACAATTTCAAGAATATGACAATAAAATCATCGTTAATTATAAAATGGAATCTTTATTTCAGCAGCTGAAACTGATTAACAGTCACAAAATACCAGCAAATATAATATACCAGTAGTATAGTAATACCACATGCACATAAAAAGAAAAATTTTGCTCCTCGAAACATCAAATTTTTTCCCCGTTTGAGAAATGTTGTATTATTGTTAATATAATTATCACCTTTACTGTTGTGCAAAAGTCTAAATGTATGTTTATTAATTATATTAACGAAATAAATTAGATGGTTTTTGCATGTCGTGTAATATTCATCCAACATCTTGTGATAAATGATAGAGCACGATTTGATATTTTATAATGAGTGTTTGCAAATAAAAAACATAATCAAACGACTAGTAAAATATTCAACACATACCATAGCTAATTAAAAAGTTTAAATATATTTCAACACTTTTCGGACGAAAGTAGGTATCGCGTGAAAAGCTATCATTTGGCATTGTGGGATCGCGATTTAGAATAATATTGTTGCAAACTGAAAATTAGGTCGAACACACAAAGTCGCACAATGCTAATCGAGAAAAGTGTTTATGATTCAGAAAATTTCGCTTCTGGGTCGAAAAAGTAAATTTATAATTGACGTTGCCGTGTAATCTAAACATCTCTCGAAAAACAAAAGAAATAATAAAAATGAACACTCTGAAATTATTTAGTTTACCATTGTGAGTACAAGTGTATCGCACTATTTTGTATTTTTCTTGGGGCTGTGCTACGTAAGTTAATTTTCCCACGGTTGCGCGCAATTGCGCTCCATATAAAATTTATTATAAATATTTTTAACTCACATGATGGGATCGAGCAGCAGTGCATTTTCATCACGTGACTTGGCTGTTGATAATAGTTGCCAGCTTTGAGTATACAAAGCATGCTTGAGGTATAACCTGCACACGACAACTTGAGTAAACATAAAGTGCACTAGAAGAGTGAGATAGATCTTCGTCAGCTTCTTAGCATTCTTTAATAACTGCTGCGTTTGATTTTTTCAATCTTCGGTCTTCGACGAGGTAAAGATTGACACAAAGCTGCGACAACGCGAGGGAATAATCAAGAGAAATAAGTTTATGAACATTGCTAAAGTTTGGATCGGTAATAAATTATAAAATTGTATTTTTCATATTTATTAAATAAAAAGGGCACTACAATGCAAAAAAATCAATGGATGATTCAGGCAAAAGGGTTCCATTACATTTGAACCCACGTACATTTGAACCCATGACAATTGCACCTGTATGCTATTGCACCTATGGAATTTTTTTTGTTTCACGGATAGTTAAACCCATACTAACCCTAACCCATGGGTTTTAGCACCCGCATATAGATTGAACCCGTGGATATACGCATGGGTTCTAATGTACGTGGGTTCAAATGTACGGTCACCAAGCAAAAGAGTGTGAGTTGAATGGGAAATATTGAATTGACAAAATTAAAAAGATTTAACGGACAAAATTTTAAATATTTTACTGCGAAACAATTTTATGTGTAAGAGAAGAGAAAATTATAGGAAATCAACTCCGCTTTATAGTAAATCTCTGTGCATTGTCTTTTTCTGTGGGTCCAACACAAAACCCCAACTTTCCTCACAACCAACACAGACGGCTAACTTGTCTCTAAATAGGGCCATGAACTTGCCCTCTATTTGCATCGCAGTACAAGTAGTACGCAATACATTTTTATTCAGTTATTGTCATTATTTTCCGTGACTCACTAAAAAACTTGGTTCATCCCAAGATGAATACTTAAAATACATTCACTTTGATTCATTTCAGATTAGTTCAATTTTCATCGCGAAAGAGCAAAGGTAAAAAGGAATATATTTGGATTTGGGGGTTTTAAAAAATTTCAAACTACTTATAGTCTATCCATAGAACAAGCCTCTCATTTTAAGAACAACTTGAAATAATTAATAATTTAAACTTGAATGTCGAGGTCTTTTGATCTTAATGACAAATTCAGCCCAAACACAAGTTACTATGAACCTCACGTTCGACAAAGTGAAATACTTTTTTTGCCATAGAACCTGAAAGAAATGAAAATTCACAGCTGATATGATTGATAAAGGTTTTGTAGTGTTTTTGATTTGGAGTGTTTTTTATTTCTGTTTCAACGCTTTTGCTGATACTACAAAAATATTCAAAGTAGTTCTGATAGGATGTGTGCTATTCTGTACAAAACATACAAACGTGAGTCGGAAATGCTTGTAGTAACAACATTTACTAAGATATATTGTTCTAATTTGTATTGTTCCTAAAATTCTAAGATTTTTTTTAGAGACAAAATCAATGAGAAATTTAGGAGATATAAAAATAAAAAGGTTGAAATTAATATTTTAGTAACAAATCAACAAAATGAAAAATTCTATAAACAAAAAATATTTAAGATAAATGGACTCTTATTTTAAACGCTACAGTAATTTGCTTGTATTAGATAGTGCGGTTACACAGACGAAGTGATTTGCTAAACGTCATTGTCATGATGCTACAACTTGCGTTACTTTGAAAATTTATTTTTTAAATGTTCCAGCACATTTGAATAAAATCCAAAACAGTGCTAACGCGTATACTAGATTTTTTTTGTGTGATTAATGTATAAATTTTCCTGAAGCTGATATCAGAGTGAATCGTTATATCAACTGCTTAGCTACTTTTTTTTCAAAAGCAACTTCAAGAGGTAAAGAAACAAGGAATAATGTTTTTTCTATATTTTTCACAATCTCGAAATTATACGTCATTGAAATTTAGCGAGCCCTTCAATATTCACCCTTTAATTTTTATATTTTCTGTGTATATGTGTTGACAAATGAATAAAAATTGTTGAATTGTTGTATCAAACCGTCTCTTCAAGTCTCTATGTTCCTGTCGTATTGGCTATCCTACATGTCGCAAGTGGATGATAACAAACCGCAACAATCCAGCAGAATGCTCGTTAGGCCAACTTCCATAGTGATTGCCGATCTGTTACCAGCAAAACGCCAGGAACCGGCATATCGGCTGACTGGCATAATCTCAGAACATAGTTAATTATCAAAATAACCAAAATTACCTAACCAGAGGAAGACAAGATCTATATGTTATAAATGCAAAGAACTGTAATGTTTGTGCATCTGAAGTTTGCTCAGTCTCAGATGATTTTATTTTATTCATCAATAAACACATATTTTCAATAGAGTTTTCTTTATTCGGGCAAAAATAGTTCGAAAAACAGCCACATAGCAATATCAAGAACATAAGAAATATTGATTTACTGCATTTATTTTTCAAATAAATTTCGATTGTTAACTTCTCTAAAGTAGGCCCTATGTATCTGATTAAAATAGCAATATTCGACAAATTAATATTAAGTCAAATATTCAGAAAAAATTGTAGTTTTTGGTCTTTACTCCATGTTGTCACTCATTATTCTAAATCTTCCATGCTTGCAGCTTTTGCGAAGACCAGAAATTCATCTGAAAAGGTTTTATCATTTATTGATACTTTCTTTAATAGGTCTGTTGAATATTTTCCCTATGTTCCCCGAATTAAAAATATAAAATTTAATGCAACCGAAAATTTACAAAAAATAAAAAATACTGATGTACAAAATACAATGTAACGGCGGTGTCTTATTTACATTTTTCACAAAATTCCGAAAACTCAAAATATCCGATTTTCAGGTTTTTGGTAAAATAAATTTGGATTAGATAAAAAGACTATTTTTCTGTGTATGTTTCATTAGTGTTTCTGATATTTTCTAAAAACATACCGTCGTCCATTTCTCTGATCATTTGAATTGCATCAAACAATTGATTAATTTCAGTCTCGTCCTGGGAAAATATGAATGCATTGTTAATTGCGTATGACACTGATATGATCTAGTTCAATAATTAAAACTTTTGTAATAATTGTATATAAAAGTTTTAGGTATTTAAAAAAAAATTTACATTAATTTATATTTTAATTATTTGCAAGCAATAAAGTTATGAAGAAATTTCTTGACAAATGTGAAAATTCACTCTTGTTCAAATATCTTGTTTAAATCCAATTTTTAATGTTTTACGTCAAATGTGTTCAACTTTGTAACCTTAGAAGTTGTGTAGTTTTTGTTCTACTTCTGGGTAAGTTTTTACTCTTTTGTGGTACGCAAGTATTCAAGAAATTAAATTATATCTCACCATTTCTCTAATTGCACGGACATCACCGAGCAGGTTTAATCCAGTTCTAATCACTGTTTGACCGGTCCTGTATAAATAAAACTGAATAATTTAGAGATGCGCTGTGAAATATTCTCTTATTACAAAATAGCAAGTATATCTGTAAGTAAGCTAACATATGTATATACTTGATATTTTGTTTAATGATATTATGTTACTTTTATTCGTCTTTTTTGCTATCTCGGTCGATAATTTGAAAGTCAGGAAGTTTTAAAACTTGACAACCATTTTATACTTTTCAGCAAAATGCCATAAAAATTATATATTTATCCATTAATTAAATGCTATGCGTTTACAAATTAGGATCAATGAGATAAATTAATTGAAATACCTGAAAGGCAAAATATCGAAAGCGTTATTCCATGAATGCACATTAAATACGTGATTAAAATGACTTACGGGCTTTTTGCTGCTTTGAACGCGGCTGAACCTGCTTTTTTCAAGACCCTTGTAAAGCTTCCCCATCCTCCGGAAACATCAACAACAAACAATGCTATCAAAGCTAGAATAATTGCAGTCTTCATGATTTTGTTTTCTGAAGTTAAATGACATAATCAATGAAAACAAAATGAATTTATATGGAATGCAATGAAACCGAAAAGACTTGTGTTATTTGTGAAGTCATTCTGAATGAAATGAATTCGAACTGAATAATTGTAAAGATTTAAGAAGTTTCTTGATAAAAACAAAAGCAGAGTAATTTATTAAAACTTAGACTTCTCTATTGTAAGGATTGTTTGAAAAACTGAGTTTGCAAAGGCAGAACTAATAAAATACTCACAATTACATAGAAAAATATAAAATATTTCTGAAATCTCACCTGAGTCTTACATAGAAAAATATAAAATATTTCTGAAATCTCACCTGAGTCTTCTTTGTCTTTGAAAAGTGAAGTGATGCAAAATATGTGTATTGTTCCCTTTTTATAGAATTCCTTGTTGGTTGACGGGAAATTCGTCATTGAAAACCCATCTGGATTTATGATTTGATTACTTTTATAAATCATTAATACAGGAAGGGATTTAGAGTCGTTCTGAGGAATAATGTTATGAGCAATGAATAGGCGGAGAAGACAACTTATTGTTTTCCATACGTTCATGACAAGATGGTTTATCTTCCGTTTTGTGAATTCTCACATTATGAAAACTATAATCATTGAATGACTGACACTTACTCATCTTGGACGTATTTTCAATTATTCTTCATATTTTTTGTGTAAAATGAGATGACTAGTTGTGATTTAATTATGTTTTTATTTTTTATTAGCAAAATCCAGTACATAAATAGTCGTGATCCAGATATACACCAATATGTTGGATAAATATTAATAAACACATGAATGCATCGATATATACCTCGGATAAAAAAAATGATAACGGTTTTTTGCTTGGTACATCTCATTTTTCGCATCCTGGATAATTTTCTTACAAGATAAAGATTCTCAGATACTTTCCAATCACTGTTACATTAATATGATATTCAATATTTTTTAATACAGAAGATCTTCCGGAAACAGAACCTCTTTCTAAATTTGATTTAATAAACAATGATAGAAAATTATTAACTGCGTACTATCACTGCGGCTGTGTTTTCGCAAATATTTTCTTTAGCTGTCATGAACAGCCATGGACGGGCACAAATAAACAGAAAATATTTCTAATTAGAGAATCACTTGAAAATTCGGTACTCCCGAAGTATGTGAACCAAGATGGCGGACACCGGAACGTAGTATGTGTACCAGGTTAGGTCATAATTTCAGGTACAAATACTACGGGAGTCACTTGGCTAGTCGCCGAACTCGTAATGGAACTGAAATAAGGTAAATTGGTATGAAATCATGACCTAACTTTAACCTGGTACACATACTACGTTCCGGTGTCCGCCATTTTGTTTCACATACTTCGGGAGTACAGAAAGTTCTTCAAAATATGTGTTTAGTTAATGTACGGGGTGACTCCACAAACAAATACAAAAACAGAACTCAGGTCATTTGGAACATATTCTGGAGAGAACATGACTTTTGTGCAAACTTCTGTCTCCGATTACTGAAACTTTGGGAACTTTGGTGTACAATCATGCGCAAAGCGTGAAATAAATGTTCTTCATTTTTGTAAGGGTAATAAAGAAATTTCTGGGTTGTGTTTTTTTGAGTCACTGTGCATGTTAGCAAAATAAGATTGCTATCTTTCATGTGATGTGTAATATTCATTCAGCATACTGAAGTAAATGATAGATCACTATTAGGGTGTTTGCTAATAAAAGCATAAAAACAAATCACATCTGATCATCTCATTTTAACACAATGTAGCAAAAATATGGAACATAACCAACAACACGATCAAAATGAGTTGAGTGATTTTAGCAAAAACAAACAAGAAAATTCATGTCATGTTCATGGAGTTAAAGAATGTCAGAGTTCATAAAACGTAAAACGAACTTTCTCGTCATAACCGTATGGTAAACATCAGGTACAAATATGATTCATTACGCATTGCGTTACCCATCAAAGCGGCTCTAAATCCTTTCCTGTCTTAAAAAGTTATGAAAGTAATTAAAGAAAAAATCCAGATGGATTTTTATTGACGAATTTCCCGTCAACTAGCAAGGATTTCTGTTAAAAGGGCACAACTCACATCTTTTGCATCACTTCACTTTGTAAAGACGAAGAAGACTCAGGTGAGATTTCAGAAATATTGATGATTTCTGTATAGTCGTGGGTTTAGTATTATTTTTTATCTTTGTGAAGAAGGTCATACAAACCCATTACAACAGAGAAGTAAGCGTATATACTCTCTATATATTCTATTTTTTGTTTACATTTATAAACTCCTATTTCTTCATAGTTTTTTATTTGCAATTCGTTTAGATTTTATCTCAAAAACCATACAAACCTTGTATTTTGTGGGGAATGACCAAACATAATGTATAATTGATAAAATACCATATTAAACTTCAGAAAACAAAACCATGAAGACTGCAATCATTTTGACTTTAGTAGCATTGCTTGTTGTTGAAAACACCGAAGGGTGGGGATTTGGAAGAAAAATCTTGAAGTTTGGTGCAAAGGCTAGCAAAGCTGTGGCTAAAGCAGCGACAAGTCCGTAAGTCATTTTATTCTCACACTCAATACGCACTCATGTGACAACGACTTTGTAATTATTACCTTAAGTATTTTGAAAAGTTAACATCATCATTGTCAATTTGTAAACAAATAGCATTCAATTACAAGAAACCGATGCTCAAATATATGGACACGGTGTAGTACGCGCATACAGTCATTCGCAATATCCTACCGGTACCCGCAGTGTTCACGGCATTGCTTTCGGACGAAATCACCACAAGCAGCGCTTTTTTTATTCCGATGGCGTCATCGCATACAACAAAAACGAATCTCTTAGAACCCACAAAAATTTTTGAAATAAATAAAAGTAACAGCCTTTGACGAACAATCTTTGACAACTGAAAATTACAAAGCAATTGGTCCAGTAATTAAAGAGAAAAGCGATTTTTAAAAAATGTAAGAAGATGAATTGTAACAAGAACAACAACAACATAACAAACAACGACCCATATGTCCACTCCGTGTCCATTAAATATAAAATTTCATGACATATTGCTGTGAAGTACAAAGTAGTTTCAGTGTTTTAAAAACTCTCAAGTTAGAAGTTAATCGCGGTTTTTATTTAAATTATTCACTTTCTGTCTTTAGGACTGGTAAAGCAATAATAAAATCTGGAGTGAGTGCCGCAATAGGCCTTGTCGGTGATGTGCAAGCAATTAGAGAAATGGTGAGTTTCAATTTACTGTCCTAAATATTCGCCTACGACAAAAATGTAAACACTCACCAGTTGACAAGAAATATTTTTTCATACATTTGATTGATTGAAAATAATAAAATAGTCATTAATGCCTTTAATTTTTTGAATACTCAACTGATTGTTGTTCCCCACATTATTTATTTACAACTAGAAGTTCTTAAACGTTGAAATAGATATCAATATTATTCGTTTAACAATGCATTCATATTTTTCCAGGACGAGACTGAAATTAATCAATTGTTTGATGCAATTCAAATGATCAGAGAAATGGACGACGGTATGGTTTTACATGATACCACGAAAATAAAATAAATAAAATTAACATAACAAATAATTAGTTTTGTGGCACTTTGGTGTAGTCAATATTTATATTGTCAGAATTCTGAAAAATTAGCATTTGATATTCATGACTTTTTAAAAATTTTGTGAGAAATATAAATAAGACACTGAACTACCTATTCAAATGTTACTCAATTGAGATTTTCATTAGATATTTATTAAATTTTCGATCTATATGTTTTTCAATCAATCTGGTAAAATATTGAACATCTACAATTACTATTAATTAAATTAAATTATAATATCATTTCAGACGAATTCCTCTACTTCGCAAAAGCTGCAAGCATGGAAGATTTTGAATAACGAGTGTTAAAATGGAGTAAAGACAAAAATCTACAACTATTTTTCTTAATATTCGATTTAATACTAAACTGCCAAATATTGCTTGTCTAATCATATTTCAAAGAAAGAAACGGTCAAAACTTATGTGAAAATTAACAACAATAAATCAGTATTTCTTTGATCTTGCTATATGGCTGTTTTGTCACACTTTTTGTTACCCAAATAAAAAAAAGGTTTATTGAAAATACGTATTTGTTGATAAACAAAATCAATTTATTAACCATCTAAACAAAGTACAGTTGCAAAAACGTTGGATGTGTTAAACCTCGCTACGTTACGCCTGTTATTTCCGAATTCGGTAATTTGGGGTTTTTGGGAGATTAATTATGATCTGGCATTATACCTTCCAATCTGTAACAACTTCTTCTTCTTGGCGCTTTGCTAGTTACAGATGAACAACCACTACTAGAGATGGCCAAACGATCGTGTTGCTTGATTTTTTAGAAATCAATTTGTTATCGCCCACTTGCGGCATGTAAAATTTCGATCATACTATAGGTACCTAGGATATGGCCATGGAGACGTTTCATTCCGTGAAACAATTCATCGTTATTATTTGTTTGTGCGCGCATATCCAAAGAATAAACAATGGTGTTAAGATGCATGGGCTAGCTAAATTGCGTGGACGTATCGCTACCCGCTCTCATAAAATATAGGAAAAGTATTTATTTATCTCACCCTCATACCGAGAAGTTTTATAGTGAATAAAAATCATTGTAAATTTTGGTTTAAATTTTAACGTGGGTCTTTTTAAAATTGAAATTCTGCGCGGAAACACGATTTTCTTTATTTTGAAATAAATTGACTGTTTATTGAGTACAATTGAAAGAAATTCCCTCTATGTTAACAAATATAACAACATGTCTGAAATGAATAAATCTTGAATTGAAGAAGCTGCTTTAACACTTTCAATTATCCTTTCCTGAGATTAGTAGCGTAATATTTTATGAAATGAGGATTTCCTGCGACTCACCTCTTGCTATCTAGTCCAGAAAGAAATGCCAAACAAAACTGAAAATGAGGATTTCACATGACCCATGTGTTTCAATCTAAACCAGAGTTAAATGCCAAACAAAACTGCCCTATTTTCATTTGTAATCTTCTGTAATATTGCAATATCAACGGGTAATAGAAAACATTGACTAGGATGTTGCCGAGGTGTGAATTCTATCTGATATAATTTTCAGAATTTATTTATATAGCCAACTGTTCTCTGCTGGATTCCTAAATCAAGCAAAACAACCTCCATGTATTACGATCAGACGTGCAATAGTGAAAACCGTAGTAAGCTCTTTGAGATCGTTACAGAGGTATGGATATTAGCTAAAAAAAAAGCAACAACAGGATTAAAAAAATATCACGTCACAGTAACAAAAACATTCTCTAGTCACCACAGTCAACCTTTTAGGCTAGGCTACTGCTTTCGGGTAGCAAATGATATCGTATTGTAACCGTGGGGTGCTCAATTGAGGCGCGCCAGCTTAAAAGGCGCACGATCGATTTTTTAAAATATGATTTAAAGTGCGCCTTGTGGTTTGTAAAATACGGTATTTGTTTGTTATAAAGTGCTTGGTAAAGGATTATTAACTCCTTCCTATTTCCGCGGCTGTTTTTTCGTAATTCTTTGCAGTTGAAAGTCATAAACAGTCATAAAATATCAAGCAAACATTTCCTATTAAAGGAATCTATTTATTTATTTTTTTATGTAATTTTTTGCGAAGTATCGTATTCAAAAGATAAGTAATATTTATCCAACATATTGGGGGTGATGTTGGAGCACGATTTGTTGTTTTCACGTTGGTTGTTCGCTAATGCAAAGCTTAATTAAATCACAACTGGTCATTTCATTTTACACAACATACAAAACAAAACATGGTTTGTAATTCATATGATTTTTGTCGAGCCTATAAGCCCTATATGGATGAAAATTAGAGTAATAAATCCATAACTATTTTAAAAGTCAACATAATTAATTGTGGGTACCGGATGTGGAATATTGCATGAAAACCCTATCTCAAACAAGCTAATATTTGAAAAGGGGTTGATTCGTCTTTCGTATTCATTTTGAAGACCCGAAGCTTTCAAGTGTAGTTTTAAAAAGAGGTTGAAATATAAACATGGCTTAGTTTCTTTACATGATTAAGGAGTCCTGCAGAGAACAGTTAGCTATATAAATAAATTCCGGAAATTATATATGATAGAATTCACACCTCGACGACATCTTAGTCAATGTTTTCCATTACCCGTTGATGTTGTAATATTACAGGAGATTACAATAATTTAGGAAATGAAAATAGGTCAGTTTTGGTTGGGATTTAACTCTGGTTTAGATAGAAAGACATGAGTCGTGTGAAATTATTATTTTATATATATATATTATAAACTATTATGCTATGAATCTCCAGAAGGAATAATAAAAAATGTTTCACGGAGCGTGTCAATTCAAGGTTGTTATACGCAATATATAGTAAGTTTATTTCAAAATGAAGAGAATCGTATTTCCGCACAGAATTTCAATTTTAAAAAGCCCCACGTAAAGAGGTGAACAAAAAACTAAAATCTTGTACGATTTCTATTCACTATAAAACTTCTCGGGATGAGAGGAGAGGTTATTACTTTTCCTAGATTTTTTTGCCAAAGCGAGTAGCGATATGTCTACAAAATTCAACTAGCACTTGCATCTTAAATAGTATTTATTCTCTGAATATGAGCGCACAAATAAATAATAACGATGAATTGTTTCATGGAATGAATCGACTTCTTTGAGGCTCCATGTAGTATAGCACGATGGCAATTTTACATGCCGCAAGTGGGCAATAACAAACCGTTTTATCAACAATCGAGCATCTTGCTCGTAAGGCCGACTCTTGAAGAATAAGCTCTCACATATTGGTGGTTATGATTATAATCCCATATCATATTTAATCACCCAAAAACCCGAAATTACCGAATTCGGAAATAACGAGCTCCATACGAAGCGGGTGGTAACACATCCAACGTTTTTACAACTGTTCAGATGGTTAATAAATTGATTTTGATTATCAATAAACACGTATTTTTCAATAAACCTTTCTTTATTTGGGCAACAAAAAGTGTGACAAAACAACCATATTGCAACATGAAAGAAATACAGATTATTGTTGTTAATTTTGACATGAGTTTTGACCGTTTACTTTTTGGAAGTATATAACTGATTAGACAAGCAATATATGACAATTCAGTATTAAATCAAATGTTAAGAAAAATTGTTGTAGCTTTTCGTCTTTACTCCATTATATCACTCTCTATTGAAAATCTTCCATGCTTGCAGCTTTTGCGAAGTAGAGGAATTCGTCTGAAACGATATTATAATTTAATGATACTTTCTCAATAGTAATCGTTTATGGTATTTTATTGTTTATGTTATGAATATTTTACTAAATTAACTAATTAAAAATAAAGAAAAATGTTATGCAGTCAAAAATTTAATAATAAAATAAAAATCTGAAAATCTATATGGAATAACGGATGTATAGCCAGTTTGTAACTAATTTATACCACTTGTAAAATTTGAAAATGATAAAATATTCAATGCTAATTTTTCAATATTTCAATACTGGCAAGATAAATTTTGACTAGATTCAAAATTGATTATTTTTGTATGTTTTTTTAATTTTTTTGTGATTATATCCAAAAAACATACCGTCGTCCATTTCTCTGATCATTTCAATTGCGTCAAACAATTGACTAATTTCGGTCTCGTCCTGGGAAAATATGAAGGCATTGTTCAAATGCGAATGTAACTGAGCTGATCTAGGTCTACAATTGAAAACTTCTGATTGTGACGATAAAGATGGATTATTAAACTTTTGGATATTAAATAAACGAAAAGATTTATAAATATTATAATTATTCACAAGTATCAAATTTATGAGAAAAATTTTGACAAATGTGTACTTTCATTATTTGTTTCTCAATTTTTCAAATTTTTTAAATTTCAAGTCTGGGCGCTGTTTTTATTCTGTATAACCTCAGTATTTGTGCAGTTTTTCTTCCTCGTTTGAGTTGAATTTTGTTTTATTTGTTGTAGACAAATATTTAGGAAAAATGATCAAATCTTACCATTTCTCTAATTGCACGCATATCACCGAGCTGGCTCATTGCGCTTCCCATTGCTATTTGTCCCGTCCTGAATACAGAAAATGAATGAATTAACAATGCGCGGTGGGTAACTTAAAATATTTTCGTTTCACGAATAAGCATGTATATTGGTCAGCTTCCGTTAGTTCACAAATATGTTCACAAATATACTTACTATTTCGTGTAAAGGAATTATGTTATTCTTATTCGTCTTTTATCTTTTTGATACTTTCCCGGTCTATAATTTAAAAGTTGAAAAGTTTTAAAACTTGACAACTTCTTTATACTTCTCAGCAAAACCCATGACAAAATTTTTATCTATGAAGGGCTATGCCTTTTCAGAGTAGAGATAATGAGAAAAATTTATTCATGAATTCATATTTAATGTGTGAATAAAATGACTTACGGACTATTCGCTGCCTTGAGCGCGACAGAACCTGCTTTAACCGCTACTGAACCGGGTTTTTTCAGGTTCCGTGTAAAGCCTTTCCATCCTCCTGAGACATTAACAACAAATATTGCTACCAAAGCTAGAATGATTGCAGTTTTCATGATTCTGAGATGTGTAAAACTTCTGCAAAATAATATTATAAATCTTGAACTTCTCTACTGTAGAGTGTGCTTGAAAAACTGAGTTATCAAAGGCAATACTTACTAATGAAACACTCATAATTACATAGAAAAAAAAATATTTTCTCTAAAATCTCACCTGAGTTCTTTCGTTTATACAAAGTGAAATGATGCAAAATATGCGTATTGTCCCCTTTTTATAGAATTCTTTGTTCCGTTACAGGAAAGTCGTCATTAAAAATCCATATCGATTTTTCCTTCAATTACTTTTTAGAGTCGTACTGAGAGATATAGTGTGATGAGTAATGAATATGTGGATAAGACTCACTGGTTCATATTCCTCATAAGGTTATGAAATGATGGTCCATCTTCCGTGATGTGAATTCTGACATTATGAAAACTATAAACATTAAATGACAGCAAATTGCGATTACTCATCTTAATCGCCATATTGTTTGTACGTTGCGTTAAATGAGATGACTAGTTGTGATTTAATTATGCTTTTTATTAGCGAACATCCAACGTGGAAACAACAAATCGTGCTCTAACATTTACTCCAAGATGTTAGATAAATGTTACTCATCATTTGAATACTTTCGCAAATAATACATAGAAAAAAAAAACATATTTTTTTAATATAGATGTTTGCTCCGAGCAGTTACCAAATCAGCTCTCCGCACACGACGAACATTCGTATGCTGTCTCAAGACTATCAAACCAGCGCTAAATAAGTTTATCGCCGCTACAAAACAGTGCCAAATATCCAGCACAAGTAAATATACATGAATATGTTTCATGTCTTGTATGGTGTGAGAGTTAAGTGTAGTTCCACCAAATATATTCAGATTTCTTATGTTATTATTGTGTATCCATTTTGAACGTAATTTGTTGGTTTGTGGCCCGCGTCATTGATAAAGTTCAAAAAGTGGCCCATGACATATTTTGAGTTGGATACCCTGGGTGTAGAGCAACTTCTCTTGTTCCTGTAAGTTGGGTATCCATCCGATCATCATAAAGCTGTTGATAATTTAGTCGTTTAACTTCATTCAGTAATTAGATACTTTTGTACTAAAATTTCAAAGTCTAGAACTGTAAAGAGGGCAAATTCAGATTTTGTATTGCCATTTCTGCATTTTTCCGTTCACTGGCAAAAAAATTCAGAATCAAGCTCTGGCTGTGCTAAGTATCCACAGACGTAACGTGAATGTACCGATGTAAGCTAGTCCAACCAACCTCATACTGTTATACCAGTATCTGAGTATACTGCTGTACTGTTTTATCTCGTATATATATATATATTAATTGGTAGGCCTACGGTAGATGTTACCCTACTGCCATATAATCACACTGATCAATACATTAACGAGAATATCGGTCAGAGACCGAAGACTTATCGATCGAAAGTTAGGGGATCCCCAAAACAGCGCTCTTACTCCATAGTGACACCTTCTGTCCCATCACCAATTAATTAATAACTCGCTAAATATACGACATAATTCATCCAAATTCAATAGGCTTCTGATCCGAGATATGATGAATGCATATGCAAAATTTGGAGCGGATTCATCTTCGCTTTCGTGAGATATCGCGTGTATCTAACGGACAAACAAACAAACATAAACTGCGGTTTCGATTCCTTTGCTCTGACTCAATAGCGACACCGCGTGTCCCGTCACTAATTAATTACTAATCCAAAGTTAATAGGCTTCTGGTCCGAAATATGATGAATGCACATGCAAAATTTGGAGCAGATTTAACCTCGCTTTCGTGAGATATCGCGTAGCATACGAAAGTGTCTAACAGACAAACAAACGAACAGAGAAATATTTATCAGCATATCTACCGATCGAGATCGATAAGTAATAAGGTTACCTCCACTCTGTCTCGTAATCCTAGCATATTACCACACAGATGTATAATTGCGTTGCAAAACGGGAAGCAAGATACACTGTATTATTCTGGGCATGGATTCCGTACTTGGTGTGATCCCATTCGTCTTTAGGTTTGTTATCTACTATGCTGGCTTGGTCCATGACACCATAAACCCCCGTTTCCCAGACATGCAAGCAGTTTAATTATGCCAAAATACCAAGAGTTTTTGGTGGAAGAAGAAACGTAAATAAATTGTGAATAAATTTGATGACAGCAGAAAATATCAAATATATATACAAAAGCCGGTAACCATATAAAAAATTTGGCCAAAAGTAACATGTTTGAGCTGACAAACGCTTCAAAAACATTTGGTTGAATGCTTCAGTATTGTGAACAAACGATGATAGGTTGAGACATGAGACAATAAGGCGGCTTAATTGCAACATATTGTAACAATATGTATAATTGTCACGTTAGCCTGTGTTCGTACTTGAAGGTCATTGTTATCAAGCGCGTTAAGCTCGCAATAATTACAAAGATTGAGAACTTAGAAACAATGTTTCTTATCAGACTATTGAGCAAGTGATTAAGGCGGTCGCTGTTATGTCTAGAGCGTTTATTGCGTTTATCCATATTTCACGTGACGATTATTTTAACTCAGTGTTTTTACATATTAGAAATTTTGTTTTGGCGTTACACTAGATGTCGCCCACAAGCTAATAATTTTTCGTGTGAAAATCGCTCAAACATAGCCTCTATGTGACCTACCGCAGTCCTCAAATTAAGTGAAAGAAAGGAAAATTTTGTTTTGTTAATCCATTGCTCAAAACTGCGAAACGTCTTAAGCAACTGAACATTTGATTACTGATACTTTTTCATTAGCGTAACGTCTCGAAATGTGGCAAATGGGAAAATTGATAATATTAATCATTTACAAACGTTACGTTAACACATGCAAATATACACTATCAAATATCATCCGTTAAATTTATATTCATGAATTATCAATAAAAAATTCGTTTGGCTAAATATTCTTTCAATTTTGCCAATTTTCGCTTTGTTTCTAACAACTCCATAAAGCATTAACTATTTCTAAATGCGTGGCGTTACAAACGTAAAACTAGTTGAGTCACACAGAATAACAACAGTAACCATCTTAAAAACAAAATTCCAATCTCAGTGTTTATTCGCTTATCACGTATTGTTCTTATTCATGTTGGTAATCCCAATCCACGCTTGGTAGAAAAAAAACATTCGAATAAAATTGTAAATTTAATGCGGTTCATGTGTAATCGATGCCTGAAAATATATTACAACAATTCCAAATTTTATTAATATGATTAATGGGAATTTATACGTGATGGTATAAGCGGTTTCTCAATATTAACTTGCTAAAGGTAAAGGTATGTTTGGAGTGAATAAAACACACACATATTTTCGTAGTATTGTATTTCTGCATGACTTGTATTTCTCACTGAAACGGATTTCTTTCTGACAATCGTGTTTGTCCCAGTTCGGCCAGTCCAACGGGATCGCTCATGTTCAGAAAATTATATTTGGCTTAGCATACCGAATCTGAAAGAGAATAAATATTCAATAACTATAACTGTTTGGGTAAACTGTTGATCATGATTACATAATATGAATTTTAAACGATGTTACAGACTGATTACTGATTTTAAACAAAACGCTTTTGTTCACAAGCACATTGTTGTTTCGATTAATATTCCCGAATAAAAGTGCGAGTCGTTTGAAATGTAACAAATTTTTGCAGTCACATTTGGCAATTTAATCTAATGCATCTGTTCACAGGTATTGAATTTGGCAAATATCAAATTTACATTACGCACCTTGCGTAACGTACATCTAGCCAGCGTCGAGGTTTAGTTTAAATACGCAAACAAAAATTGTTATGCTTATAGCGTGTTATCTTTGCGTCGACGGCGTGCGTACTCGGGTTCAAGTTAAGGTTGGAGTACGGCGAGTGACAGGTGACATATCCAATATTTGTTTACGTTAGGTTCTGAGAAATCCCCGCCATTTATTATTTGACGTGACAATGAATATTCAACATTCGCATATTTGTCGTTCTAACAGCGGAGCCGTATTACTAGTACCAGGTTATGAACTAGATTTTAAAAATAAAGTTGGTGTTACTCAATGTAGCAGCAATTGAAGCAGTGACGTTTTGTCAACTGTGTGATTTGCCTTATAAAACAGGGTATAGCATAGCACAGTATAAGGATTGCTATAGTCGAGTACAGTCTCTCGTCCACACTGTTTATCTTGAGTCAGATTGTACAAAGAGTAAACCAAATGCTGAAATTCTGTACTTAAAAACGTCCAAAATTATTGTATTCCAGGAAAGTTTTAGAGTTAGACATTTTTAATTAGCCCTAATTTAAGGCTGCATTTATTGGAACACCTCTTTGATGATTGCGCAATTTCAACGAAAGTCCTAATCAAAAGAGAAAGTTTAAATTTAAGTCTCTCGCTACAAAGTATAGAGAAAGTTTAACGCCTGAATAATATAATTACCCTGCCAATTTGTCTTTTCAATTTTGTGGATAATTTATTCAATTGTGCGACCAGGGTCAGACAGACGGCGGCATGCCGAGTCCGAGAAAAAATGCGTTTGTCAATGAGACGCACCACAGCGGAGATCATCAGACAGCCTTCGTCTGTCGTTACGCGAGGATGCAAGTTGCTCGGAGGCGATGCACGACTCGGTGTCGCAGTGATTAATTGCTTTACCGAGCGATTTAACTCATTGTACGGGAAACGTGATTTCTAATTCTCTATGAGCAACAGTTTTCTCCCTGTCCTAGCTTTTATTTATATTCAAAAGTACAGCTGAATACATAAGTGTGGTATCGTTCGAGTCTTCTTAACTTTATTTCATTATGTTAATATTCAGCCGCTTATCATAGACTAATTTATCAAATTGCGGTGTGTTAGGTTTGTTTACATTTACAAGGCTTCGGGATTTCTACTTCAAATCAAAGGATCGACACCACAGAATGTCTTTGATCGCTGTTTACGGGCATTGGACTATTGGATTAGCTGTTTTTATACTTTCCCTGGCGACCAGAAGCTCAGGACAACTTTGGTAAGCTTCTAAATATCTTTATTTACTCTATTATTTCGAGTTATAAATAGACTTGGCTGGACTACGAAAGAGAAATAGATTGGAACGTAAACAAAAGTGGGAGTCGAGGTTCTATTGCTAATCGAGGCTGAAGTTTTATATATACTCATATGCCTCAATCATCTACTATGTGTACATAAAAACTGTTATAGCTCGATTAACCAAAACCTATTGATTTGAATAAAAAAAAAATTATTTCAAATTCATATACCGTGAATGTAACTATACCACAGTACAAGCTACGAGATTAACACAAATCCCCAAATCTTTAAATCTGTCATTATCAGCTAAAAGTGAACTAAGCTTTTGAAATGGTGTGAAAGTATCTACTGATCGTTAGGATTTAAGTTTTGAACGATTTTATCCTAATTTCGCCAGCTGCACGTTTGCTCGTTTTTGTGCGATAGGGATTGGAATCATTTTCATCTGGAATATTTGGCACGCGGGTTAGTTATAGGAAAGCTAAAATATTTAACACAAATAAATTTAAAATCACTCATGGCTGATCAAATATTATAAATTGTGCGATTAGGACGATAAAGTTTCGGACTCTGTAAAATCTCAATTGCTTTGTAACATATTCACCAAAGTATCAATCAATCTATCGTACGGTACTAAAAAGTATTATCTTTTAATCACAAATGGATCAGCTGATACTTTAATTCAACCTCCAAATAATTAATTTTTACCAATTGTCGCAGTTTACACATTTTGTTAACACAAAGTATTGGGATAATTTCCGTTTTCGTCAAATGTTTTCATTCCAGCTTAAACCATTCGTGTCATTTTAAGATGTTTTTTCGACCCTTGATAGTTCCGTGCTTGTATTCGGGGCATGTTTGACATAAATCAACGTATTCCTACACAAAAAGTCAAATAATATGTATTTTATTGATTCCAACTTTGCCCTCGTGACCGGAGATTGACGTCGGTTGTAACTGACACCTTTTATAATATGTGGGAAATATAAAAAACATTGTGATATACTGGTGACAGGGTCATATACGGAATCACGCAACCCATGTTGGCGGTGTGGATTGGTCTAAGCTAAAATCGCTATTTCGATGGACCCTCCCTGGCGCCGAATTTACGATATGCCCCAACGGTAGTAAAGTGGGCTTTGTCACGCTAAGGCAGGGCATGCTACGCCACAGGAAATGGCAATGGTGCGTTTTAAGTCAGTTGTTGCAAATTATGTTATTTACTGCGTGTGGCCAGGCTAATATCACTCGTACATTACACTCAGTATTGTACCCAAATTATTGGACTGTACTATACTGGACACTAAATGTTTACCGAAGTAATTTGTGACTCCTCACTCAGATATTCAGAATATTTCTACCAATTTCCGTTTGAAAAGAATAAAAGGATGACCTTTTTTGAAATACAAACATTCGCTTCAGCTAGTTATAAATACAGATCCGTTCCCTCATACCAAAAACAAATTTTGAGTCGGCAATACATACCTTCAATGTTCAATGTTTTAAGTTTATACAGCCATTCCTCAAAATATTATTGTTAGATTAATTTTATATTTGTGTAATGAATTGCATGTTTTAGGGTTATATTATTATTCGGAAGATCATAACCGAAAACAAAATTACATTTAAAACATGACGTCACCCTCAATTTTGTTTTCAAATAATCTTGTGGCTTTTCTTTCTTGGAACAAGTGTTAATGATCACAAGAAGTAGAGTATTTCTATTTGTATTGTTAGTAGGTCCTTAAGAGCTTAGCCCTGCAACAATAGAAGGCTTAGACCTCTTGGCCGTCCAAATCCAATTAGGCATGCAAAGTTTGGTCTTCAATAATGAAAGTGGAAAAGGTTTTAAACACGTTGATGACAAATTTTTATTCCTCTCCTTGTATAGATTATATATGATAGGTGTATGTTTATAAATTCAAATACCACACAAGCGTGAACATATCTAGGAAAGTAAATATCGAGATACAATTTTCAGCGCCCTCTTGTGAGGTTGACCTTCAACGTGACCTTATTGTTATTTTTGAGGGGTGGTAGCCTTACCATCACCGTGAGAAATCGTATATCGGGATACCCGCGGTGTTCGGAAAAGTCTAGTGTTACTCACGCGCCTGTGTCTGTGACGATAACTTTTGCCGGTAGTTCAGCAGTCTTGTTGTCTGCGATCACGCAGAGAAACCTCGAAATGGTGTGATATTTTGAAATAATACTAAATGCTTCCGACTCGCAACGGGGCAGAACGTAGCTCATCAACGGGATAGTCTGGACTAAAATGTTTTTCACGACTCTTATTGTCTGTTAGTTTGGAATCGGCCAATAATGTTTCGCAGTTTGAATTATTTCAAATCTCATGATATCATTGCAGAATCCTGCCGAAATACAACACCAAAATGTAACTCGAAATCATCTGATAATGTAGGCAGAAAATATATAACATAATAAAAAGAAAATGAAGCATTCGGCAACTTTATCGTTAATTGAATTGAAAAAAAAAGTGATTTTAGGTCTCCATAATACTTGACAGTCGACACGTAGTGACGTTGCGTTATGTGCAAGTAACTGCAAGTAAACAAACTCCATTCGTTGTTTACGAATCGGTGAATTTTGACGCAACATCGAGAAGATTATTCCACGATTTCCGCTGTATAACAAGAAGCCAAAGCCCCATGCTGGTCTCACATCCGTATTCGAAAACTCAAAAATTTACAGACCATGTATGATTGATACTTGGCCTAAGATATATTTGCAAATAACCACCATAATAAAATATATACCATGTTTGGTAGATGTTACATTTGTATTGGATGGATTGAATAATAATTAGTCACTTCGTCTTGTCGTAATTGCCAAGCAACATCGCCGCTCTCCCTAAATGACAGTTTTATGGCGATGCATCTCTAAAATTATATTACTAAAATGATAAATGCAGAAATTTGTATAAACGATACAAGTTTATGGCCCCGTCTTGTTGGAATATTGATATAAACTAATTAATAGTGATGCAAATGAGCAAACAAATAAAGTATCGTTGAGTAATCTTTGCATTTTTAATAAATATAAACTCTGCTGTAATTAATTGTCCTAATTATTTTATTATATTTTCATTTTTAATTTTTTTTATGCGGTGATGTAAATGAAATAATGACCATTGGATACAACTCATTATGCACAGTTTTTCAACTTTACTAACAATAGGATTTAAGGTTATCGCATAAAATATGTTAATCGGTTGGAATAAGTTGCTTAAATCTCAGAGATCAGAGTCGTCTTTATCGTCGATAAAAATAGAATGTTATTTTGGTTCATCCATCTTTGTAGCCCTTAAGAGTTTCAATAAATTGCATTAATGATACTATGAAAATGACGCGAATTACTGTAAAGTACCGTATCAATCCATACCAAAATAATTTGAATCCAATTTCTTTCAAAAAAATATTTTTGGGCTGCGCGCTCTGGTAATGTTAGCTCTGGTAGTGCCAGTATATAGAAACCAGTGTGTATCTCAAATCCACATTGCATGTTACACATTATCACATAAGAATTGGTTGTATGGTAGTTAACGATCACCCTGTATAGTATATGATTGCTTAGCGTGTACTTAGCCAGGCATTAACATTGCTCGACCCCATTTGGGGTACTTCAAAAATGTTGGATTCATTGGATTTACCGCAGATTATCGTGGGCGAATTCTATTTTTGGCCTCATGTGCTACCCCGATGGTTTTATAGGCTTAGTCACGAAATTGGTGGTTTCTGGTTCTCACGACCCCAGAGAACATTGACAATATACTGTAGTGATGTCATAACCAATTATTGCGTCATCCACGGTCGATTATAGGATTGAGAATCGTCCAATATGGTCTAAAAGACAAGTTTCTCATCCAACACTAAATTCCACTGGTTCCATCTGAAACTTAACCGGGTTAAATTCTGGACATTCGTCAGAATGGCAGGTGGAATTTTTGGCCAAAGATTTGTGAATTAAAATTGGCTAGATTGATTTACATTGCCTTTAGTTGTGAAAGCGTATACACGATTTATACGATTTAAACAGGATAACGTATCTAGGTTAATGAACGGATAAGAAGTAGACTTTCTATATCTCTTGTGCAGATTAACCATTGTCGGTAACTTCTTAAATTCCCAATCATGCTTTGCATTATGTACACCAAGTGACTTCGAACAATGAATATAAAGATCTTGTAGACGGCTTATCCTTGATTTTTGCGGTTTTGGTTTTGGTGGTATGGCATACCGGTTCATTAGCGGCCGTGTGGTTAAGGCAAATAGTAGGGCGGTTTTCCTAAAATTTGAAATAGCTATTTCGACGCCGGAATGGCATAAAATTTGACAGCCGCGACTTCCGGGGCCATTGAAATTGCGCAAAAGCACTGGAGAAATTTCTTCCTCTTGTTTGAAAATCGTCGAACCGCATTATAGGTCAACAAGAAGTTGTTGGGTTCTCCCATAGATGCCGATCAAAACATGGAAAACGCTGCTAAATTAGCGAATTATGTTGACTCAAACGTAACAATTATGAGAAAGGGAAGATAGTCGCAGTTAAGCGAAACGACGCGAATCATTCCGAAACGAATCGCGTGCGCTAAAAAACATACCGTAAGCGAAGGTGAAAATTAAGATCCACAACCATCAAATTAAGAAATCTCGTTCACACTTGTTAAATTGCACACTTATAGCATTCTAATATATAATTACCATTTCCATCGATATAACTGTAAAATAGGGTTACATATTCTGCTGATTTTGGGGAATAATCGTTACGTTTACCAAAGCGTTTTTTTTATAATCTTAAAATATGCCTTGCCCACAGGCCCTAATCGTCGTAAAATATTTTATAAGTTGAGCCACCTCATGACATGCCAGATTCGCTACTTCGGCATCGGAATTTCTCTATTATTTTTTCATACTATTTTTAGATTATTTTGTTGTTAAACACTGAACCCTACCCCGAAATTACCATTCTATATAGTATACCAACTTCCACGTTCACGAGTAATTGTTAAATTACTAGTTTACCGTTCGATTGAACATTATGATTTTGTCCGGTAACGTTCGTCTGTAACCAAATGTTGTTGCGTTACTGTATCAGCGGACTTGACAATGAAATATGTAATCTTCTTAATGGGAGGCTGATTATAAGGACATTATCCGGCAATTATCAGATGTTTTCGCGCGTTTGCAGATGCGCAAATTAAGATAATGTTGCCGTCACGTCGTTTTGGAATGTTTCAACTATTGACTGTTAAAAAAATTAAGAAAATTTACATGCATTTGAGGGTTGACTATAAATGTGAATTTTCACATCGTTCAGCTTGACAAGTTTCTTCTTACGTATAGAGCCCAAAAAGGAATTCTCAATTAAACCATATCGTTTATTTTGCAGGACTTTGGCAAATGAAGGAATCGAATTAGAAGAAAGTCGTCCTGTTAAATGTCATAATTTACGCGGACTGTCTAGAAATCAGAGGTCTCTATGTCACCGATACAATGACCATATGCCTTACGTAAACATGGGTGCACGGAACGGCTTGGCAGAATGCAAACATCAAATGCAAGAAAGTAGATGGAATTGTAGCACATCACCTGAAACGAATCCAGAAAAATCCATTACAGTTGGTGAGAACTTAAATAAATTATATGTGATATATTTAACTTTACTGTTGCTGTTCGCTGTTCTGCGATTCATACCCTCAATGGGGGAACTACTTGCTTAGTTACTTTTATTAAATGGCTGACAAATGCCACTATTGATATAAGAAAATATTACCATCCGTAAATGAAATATTATTCATGCTAAAAATAGATAGATGAATGGATGAATTCTAATTATAATAACGACTCCCGACAGTCCTTTATAATAAAAATAACAAATTCACGTTTTTATACGAAGTAATTATATGTATTCAATAAAGTCTATTTTTGGATCATATATACATACCAAAGGCTATTGTTGTAACATAAAAACTCTTGTTCTGAACTTACAGTACGTACTTGAGTACCCTATTCATGTATAATCTTAATATTGATGATAGTTGGAGTACCGGTTAAGACGGCTCCAAGTGGCCTTTGTCTACCTTCCCGCATTCCTAACCGAGTGTATTGTCAATATTCGAACAAGTTTAAGTATGCTACGTCCTCGCGCTAACCACGGGCCATGTGTGGTCGAAATTTGAAACTGACCGTGCACGCCTTCTTTACCGATCGTTAATATGACTGAAACTCCGCATTCGTTTGTCATCACTGAATCTAAATCCAACCCCGTATCTTTTAATGGTGATATTTTAGGAGATTTCAATCAACAACCCTAAAATATTCGAATGTGTTGTTTTTATTAACTTTACGCTCAAACTCCAGGTCACTGACTATTATTGGGATTCAAGCGAAACGCAACACAACTCGGTGCATATCAAGCAACAAACTTAATGACATTTCGTTTTTTGCTAAAATACTTATTTCGACAGTTGGCAAATAGTAGTTTTCGAGTTAAAATATAGTTCCCGTTAAGGCCCCCAGATTCGTTGTCTCTAGCAGAGAGACCTTTGTATATCGACCTTTCTCCTACCTTGCTAACGATTTCACCCTTGGTTTGAAAACAATATAAACCATTATTGTTTATATAAAACGGGCGGTACACCTTATCATATATCGTCATTGCTTTAAAACTTTCACTGACCAGCCTAAACTAAATGTATACTTAGATGTGTATTTTCTCAATATTTAGCAATAGAAAAATTCTAAAATAAACAATCAACATTTATGATCACTGAGATTCAAACGACTAATTGAAGCGTCTCACTTTTAATGACGATCGCGTCATTTAATTTCGACTAGCCATGAATAAAGTTATGCGTGGTTCGTCTGTAATCGTGGAGAGAAAAGCAAAAATTAAGTTTGTTTTGATTGTTAATTCGATTACCTATTTTGGCCCCAATTTTTATTTTAGTCCTCCAAGGAACCTAATATATTATGACGTGATTGGTAGATTGAGATCATTTGTTGATTTAGTACTTATTTGAAATAAGTAACACTGAATGAAATAACACTGAATGGCAATGAATTGTAAAAAGGTCCCAAAACGCTTCCAACATCATAATAGAACAAGTTTATTCATGCAATTGGAGAATTGCACGAATCCAAAATAGGACATTATTACTGATTGGTTAATTATCAAGATCGAAATGTAATTATAAATAATAAACAAACAAGTGCGTGTTTCATCATACTTACTTTCGAAGCCTAAACATGAATTTCAGTGTCAAACGCAATAATATGTTTTATATTTTACCACATTTTATGGTTTATGAGATAGATATACAGCAGTATCACGATGGCTATCCGGTCGAGCGATTTAACAAAATGAAAGTATAGTAGTCATCGCTGTATTTAATTGCAGAAAGCTTGCTCTGTGTTTACATCTCAGTGAGCTATCGAACTATCAACTTGGCACCTATATAACCGTTGAAACAGGCGCCTCGCCTCCGAGTTACAGATTCTATACTTCACAATCCATATTAAGGCCATTGGAGTTAAAACAAAGAAAAGTGAATTTGTAGTCTTTATAACAAAAAAGGCCTTTTAGCTAACATGACAAAATGATTTTGTTGAAACAAAATGAAAGACCTATTGAAATTAAATTCTGTTACAATATACATTTTACCTGTATGTGTGGTCTGATGTGTAGAGAAAAAATTCACACATTCTTTACACTAATGACATATAATTGCTGTGAGTCCAAGAAACCAGGACGTATCAAAGCACACTTTGTATGGTACAGTAAATATACAGTTCGGGGTCTGAAAATTAGGCGTTTCTTTTATTATGGCATTAGAAACGCATGGGTTTGGCGGAATTGTCGTTACATCAAAGCAACTCGCCAAATTTCTTCGTTGGCCTATCTTATGAGGTATCTGTTTTTTGTATTCGCGTATGATTCACACGGCGTCACACTTTCTCCGTAGTGTAAGGGCAAAATGTTGCGACTCTCTAATGGTTAATAGCTGTGTTGACAGTAAACAATAATTATATGAGAATTGGGACAAACGTGCGTTTTCGCTGATGGTCTGTATTTACCGTGTGGCCCTGCCGCGACATAAATTTGGAGGAAATTTTAAAGAAATAAAACAGAAAAATAAATTTCCGCAGCTGTTTCATTTTCTGTGCTAATAGAATAATGATCAATATACCATTCTACGTTTTTAATAGCTCTTCAGTAACAGTGGTGTAATATCTAAGTTTACAAAGGAACTAGAGTTAAATTCCCTTTTTGATTTGACAAATTTGATCACATTTGAAAGGGACAATTATTGACTGATTAAGACAGAGTTATCTCCAATGACATCTAAAGTGTCCCCCGAACATGACCCAAAATATCGTAAACCATTATATTGAACAAATTTGAATTAGTGTTACAGGGTGTTGTTATACTGTCACCATTAGCATTTTCAGTCGTAATAGGAAAACTTACTTAAAAGAAAGATTGAAACGTTTTACGACGTAAAAAGTTTATTATTCTATACCGCGAGGGCATATTTCATTTCATTTTTCAATTATTTGCCGAGAAAAGTAAAATTATGTTAGCGTGCTAAAACAACTTTTAAATCTGTTTGTAGCAATACAGCCGTATTTTCATGTCTACATTATTGGGATTGATTTTGTTTCCTATTTTGGCGTATCCTCTTAACAACCTTTTCTGATTTGCCGCAAAAGATGGTTACATGCTCGTTATTGGGGAATTAGTCACATAGTTTCAAGAACAAAACAAATAAATATGTTTGATCAAGCTTCGAACTGAAAATAAATCGAATCATTTCTATGTCTCTCTACGCATTCCAGGAGATGTTTAAAAGACTTCAATAGTTTTAGGTGATTTCAGAGTCTTGCTGCACACTCACGCAAATATATTTCAATACTTTTGTTAATTTTTATTGCCAATGCATGTGATATAATAGAACATTTTTATTGCAAAAATAATTGCTACAAGATTGAATATTTTAATGAGATCATCTTTTAAGGTTATAAGCATAAAGACCATAAAGCACTTAAAAATATCATCAGTTTTCATAAATATTTGGCAATTTCTCAAAAACTCATTCTTCTATGCTCAGTAGATCTTTTTCTGAAAAAAATATCTGATTTGTAAACAAACGAAAAATCAATTTTAGAAATCTTTGTATGCGCTTGAAAAGATTGTAAACTCAGGGTCAACAGCAGTTCTCACCTTTGTAAGTTCAGCTAAAAAGTCTTTAAAGTTAAACTAATATATCCTCAATCAAACGTGATCAGGAATTTCCCATGTTGAAGTTTTATTTGGCATATTTAACCCCACATATTTCTTTGTTATCAAAACATACATCTACGGTCGCCGATTGATGGGCCATAACTTTCAGAATTTAGCTTAACCCAGTTTCGGTATTCTGTTGTTTTCCCATAGTTTTATGGAGCTGCAACACCGTATAACACCTAATAGATGATGTAAAGAGCGTGTAAACAAAAAAGCTGATGGAGGGTAAAGATAAACCATCTTAAATCAATATATTTATCAAGTCGCTATTCTTTTTCAGGGAGCAAAGAAGTTGCCTTTTCCTACGCCATCACGTCAGCTGGAGTTGTTCATGCAATTGCAAGAGCGTGCAAGAACGGAGAACTCAAAGCTTGTGGTTGCAGTAAGCACAGTCGGCCCGATGGACTATCTAACGATTGGGTAAGTAAAAACTAATAAATTTGTACGACCTGCTTTCGTGAATTAGCCACCCTGTCGAAATCACAATAACAGAAATACACTGAACTATTTTTCACTATTATTTTATCATACTCATTTTTTCAAATCTTATGATATTTCAGTCTTGGGGAGGGTGTGGCGACGACACAGACTACGCCTATGGTTTTGCACATGAATTCATAGATGCACGTGAAAGAGAAAGTCAATCACCACAGGATAAGAAGACAAAATCCCGCCGGACAATGAATATACATAACAATGAAGCTGGACGAGTGGTAGGTTCATTGAAAATATTATAAATTAGAATAAACAACACTACGTCACCGATGAGGTGACGTCATTTCAACGTGGACGCCTTTTTGTCGTTACATTTCCCGTTGTGAAATTAATTCTAAAACGTGTAAATGCCCTAGTCTACAATTGTCCGCGTTTTGTGTTGTGCAAACATCTTTTCCAAATATGTAGAGCCCCCTTTTATGCGGCCGATACTTTCGACTACTCTTGTTTTCATCCAGCGCGCAAGTGTGATTTTCACAGCTATTCATTCTAATAGCTCCCAGAAATTGGGTTACTTAAACAGTCTCATCCGGGCATGTGTCGTTTGTCTTCCGACTTTACTTTCCATTTGATGCCCCGTATATCCGGAAAGTAAACTCTAGTGTAAATAATGACGATACCCTTTCGACTCCGATCACATAAAATTCGCAGTGCTGTCTCCGAAGTTGTAAATTAAAAAATCGTTTATTTTTGAATTATTTGTCTTTCGTTCAGTCCATAATACAGGAATTATACATTCAATTTATATTGTTTTATCTAAAAGCCATATGTCAACTGACACAAAAATTACCAGCGATTTTTCGGTATCGTCATTTTTTATGTCCCCAATGCCCAAAAGTTACCAGAGACCAACTTTGATTAGTTTGATCCGTCAAAGCAATTTTTTGTATATTATACGTGACAATCCAACATAATGGTATCTAGCCGCATTCTCGATGACACTTACCACACAAAATGACATGCCATAATTCATGAGGTTTTTGACCACCGTGTTTATCTGCGTGGGGCTTTAACACCTTTTAACGCTATTTAAGTACTCGTTTAGACGTGATTCTTAACAGCCCCACCCTTCTATTAAAAATCCTATTTGTGTAAAACCACCAAATCTTTTTTTGTTTACAATACACTGAAAGGGGCTGGGGGAGAGCTTTTTTTCATATACGTGCTCTGGTTAGTGTATTGATCTTTAGAAAAACTAAAATTAAAGCAGAACGAACTTGTGACTCACGCAACTTGAATGCGGTCTTGAATGCGAGATTTTATGGTGTTAAAATAAATTTGTATTCAAAACAATATCAAAATACAACCAAAGATTATCGAATCCGGGAAAAATATTTACCAAAAATGCTTAGAACTTATATGGAATCAAGTAGATAGTATCTATCTATACCCAATAACCACTCTCAATGTGATTTCGGACTGCTGCATGACTTGACAGTCTCGGTCATTTGAACTCATAAGTCTAGGCATAAGATCCCCGAAGCCTTCCCTTTCATCGTTGGGTCAACACGATACCTAGCTGAACGAATATAATTCTTGAAACGAAACGTGAAAATTGCGATTTTTGATTGATTTCGTTGTTTTTTGTTTATAATACCACTATTTCCTTCAAGAGTACGATTGATCGTGTACTTAAATGTATAATTTCAATAACTTACGATTATTAAAAAAACAAATCGAGTCACCTTGTTTTCACTACTCTGGTACCGTTCTCCGATGTGTAATCATTTTCAAATGAAGAGGACTCATACTAAATATCCGCGTGATTTGAGTATGATTAATGACTTTTAGAGTATTCGTATGGTCTGGCCGACGCACAAGAATTCGCAATTCACATAACTCTACAACTCAAAACACTTATAAATCTATTATTTTATTCAACCTTTGCAGCTTCGCAGCTTTCAGCAAAGCTTTCACTAAATTGGAAACAAGCAATGTTGATTTACACTTGAACAATTCCAGTGGTTAAATGAGCAATTGTGCTCGGTAGCATTTTTATGTTTCATCATGTATATATATATATATTCACCAACATTTGAATACCTAATGCCTGCAACTATTCCTTACCTAAAGTAATGCTATTCTACTCTATAGAAACGGCTGACTATATTTTCGCCGTGTATTGGCCGTTTAAATTGGGAATTTTATCTAGACAACTAAGCAACGTTCCATCACGATCCCATTTTGTCTCTTCTCGAAAATAGAGAAATATTTACAGCAACTTTTTAAATTCCTCTATTAGTTTCTTCGAATTTGTGCTTTTCTCATCAAAATTTAACTCTAATTACATAGTTCCTATAAGATACCAATCGAACACAGTTGCTCTTCATGACATTTGAATACATGTACTGTCTATCAAATGCAGATGCGTTATGTTTGAACTTAGAGATAATATCTAATGTGCTTTGGGTCTTTGATTTTTCTTTTACCTCTTTATGCTGTAATAAATATCAGAAAACTCACTACAAGTATACTGTAAATAAACTATAGCCTGAACTCTCAAAATTCCAAATTTTATCAAATAGGAGTATTTTGTATTATCACCAAAATGTTGCGGTACGAACATTAGTCCGCTGTTAACTAATAACAGACAAAATACAAGTATTTTCAATTTTCTGGATATCTCCCTATCAACAACCACTAATATCAAACAAATTTGTTATGTAAATTTGGATTACCTTTCGATGTGGGTATACTGATATCAATCTTGAAACAAACAAATAAAAACACGGACAAATTGTTGCTTGTTTCATACGGTGATAACCATCAAATTTTAGATTACGGAACATACGCTCAGCACTCGTAGAGATATAAACACTAGGGTGCGCAAAAGGTCAAATAACCGCCAATTTTTCTCAGTTCATGTTTAGAGTATTAAACCATGTCGAAGGTAGTATGGATTCGCTTTATTTTTTTTACAAAAAGTCTTTAATAAATATATTACATGGAAGGTCATCTAATTGCGGCCATAGTTGTGTGAGTGAGTGTTCGCAAAGCATTGGATTTAACTGGACAATGGGTCTCAGTAGACGACGACTTCGCGATTTCCGGCTTATGTGATTTATTAGTATAAAGATATCTCATAATCATCTTAAGAACATACACATTCTGGGTATATTTTGGTAAAGTCAATCCAGCCTGTCTTCGTTTTGAATGGCGAATGTCGTCATCAATATTAAATCCTATAATCCTGTATAACTTTCAAGATTTACAAACCAAACTACTATCATGTGTTGTCACGAATCTTTGAAGATTGTTTAGCCATGATCTCAAATTATCAGGGTGTTTACGACTCAATCCCGAGCACTTCAATTTTTCAAATTCTTTGGATATAAATGTTTCGTAATTTGTCTATTTCGTTTGAATTTGATGAAACTTCCTTTTGTTATTCAGTATCGCTTTTATCAATATACTATTTATTTTTTAGAGTGTTGTCAGAGCCACGAGACCTACTTGCAAATGCCATGGAGTGTCTGGTTCTTGCAGTTTAAAAACTTGCTGGATGCAAGTACCTGACTTCAGAGATGTCGGTGATAGGTTACGACAAAGATACCAAGGTGCCGTGGAGATGAAAGTCACTCATCGTGGACAACTCAAAACAAGATGGGGAAATATAGCATCACCAACCATTGTCGACCTCGTATTTCTAGACTCCTCGCCAGATTATTGCAACCCAAATCCAAAAATGGGGGTCATGGGTACTTCTGGTCGTGAGTGTAACAAAGACTCAACTGGAATGGACGGATGCGGACTTATGTGTTGCGGACGCGGTTTCGTGACACGCGAAGTTGAAACCGTCAAGCCTTGTCATTGCAAATTCCAGTGGTGCTGTTATGTAAAATGCCAGCAATGTACGGAAACAGTGCTCAAACACATTTGCAATTGAGGTTTTTGTTTGGTATTAACTACTCTGCACTAGTGTTCCATGTAGGCACAAATGCCTCCTGATAAATGAAGCCGTATTGTGGCGTTGCACGTCCGAAGTTTAGAATCCGAGAAAATACAAGGTGTAGGAAAAGAATATTTCTTGTAAATAAGAACGTCCTCCAAGCACACAGAAAAAATGGACAACAGTATAAACACTGCTATTCAAATAAGTGAAATGCAGATGTATAGAAACTACAAAAATGATGTTAACCTCAAACTGTCTTTTCTCATACGTGACTGTTTATTGGTCATTCCGGTACATCATCTATTTAACTTTGTTTTATTGATTTTTATTTTTATCCGTGTTTTACCAAATTTTGCACTTCAGTCTAAGCATTTTCTCAAAAAGCGTTTTAAGAATAAATATGTGTTATGTAAAATTTGATCTGGACTGCCTTTGAAATTTTTCTGTCTAATTACAGTTGCCTGCTTTATTTCACCAAGACATACAGAAAGCATGATCCAAATACAAGCACATCATTAGTTATCCTCTTATTTCACAAATGGGGTTGAATTAGATTGCACTTTGTGATTTGGAGTTTTTGCACGTTTTTTGCACCCGTTAATCACGATGATAAAACCACTGATAAAACATTGTTTTCAATAGCACTCTTTGTACTCCTCCTGCTCCTTCGATCACCATTTGCACATAAGTTTATTGACATGACGAAATAGGGCCTATTCACATAATGTGAATAATTACAGTTTATAGAACCGTATACTTCTATTGAAGCGTACAAATTAAATCCAATTACCTTAAAATTGCCAATAATTTCCTTTCATTCAACACATTAGCTAAACCCGCTACGATGTCAACTTTATGATTTACTTTTGAGTGTTGGTTTATCTTCGCATTTGTATTGCTGTTTATTTTGATTGCTTTTTGATTATTGTTGCTCGCTTTTACTATATTTTATATTTATGAAACTTGTTCGCAAATAAACTGCCAAAACATCATTTTTTCATTTATCTTCGCGAAGTAGACTGACGATTCTGAATACAAATTAATCCAGATTTTTACCGTACCCTCGGAAGGAACACACGCCGCTTACGCCGAGTTTGGCGTGTATAGATAGTCTGGTGAAAGCAATGTCTCCTGTGTGCATTCAAGTCTCAACATAAAACTTATTCTCGATAACATAGTGCAACATTGACGATCGTTCGCCAAATTGGCTAGGGTTGACACTGAGTATGTGGGACTAGCTATGATATGCGACCTAAAGTTCAAACATGGCAGTGCAGCATTCGTCCATATTTCGTTAGCAAGAAACTGATGCGCTGGAGCGGTCATTTTAGCGAACTGAAATGTGCTAGTTCTGCATATTTTCTGAGAGTTAGAACGCGCATGCGGTTGCATGGAACGAAATACAAGTTTGTGTACGAGAACAGTACAAAAATTTCGGAATGCTTAATCTGGCTTGTAGCAAAACTAAACGGGGACTGTTGTCATGGTATATTGTTTGGTGAACCGCTAAAAAAGAGTGAATAATGCAGCAAGTTAGTAAAATATATTACATGGATGGTTGTTTGTTGGGAGAGATTGAACTGACCAAAACTATAAATGACTTCATGTGGCAAACATTGCGAATCACCGCTCTGCAATCTTATTGGAAGTGATCAAAGCAAATGCAATTACATACTTGTGGCTGTATGAACTACTATGTAGAATCGCACATGAGTGAAAACGTGTGTATTCAATGTGCCAACATGGTAGTGCTTCTATATTGGCCATTTTCCTTTGTTGTTGTAAATTGTAGACTTCATGACATTCAAAATACCACTGTAGTGGATATATAACTTCAAGGAAACCCCAAAAAAGTTTTGCGCAACATCTTTAATTAAACAAATTTTAAACCCAAACTTCCGGATGCAATACAAAAGTAACAAAATAAACTTTTCTTCCCACAGATTTGTTCAATTGATAGCAACTTCAACATACAATTATTCGAAGTATTTTGTCGAATTATCCAAGTTCATAACTCAAGGTATCCGTCAAATATGCAATTAGTGACTTAATTAAAAAAACGTGTGATTGAAGCTAGACTTTCCAACGGTATTTTTAGAAATAATAGTTTATTTTAATTGCTGTACAGGTGACACGCGGTTGGTTATATTACGAAATTAAACAAATGAGAAAAGTATATATATATATATACTTTTGTGTACTAGCATTTAATTTATTTTTGTCAAATATTACATTTACAACGTTATAATTATTTAATGTTTAAGCACAAATTCAATTTATTTCATTTTACTTCTCTGATGGTTATACGCACTGTGATTTTTCCACATCCGAATATATATTTATAATTTTGAACACATCCAAAAATTTCAGTTTCAATATTTGGTGTTTTTGCCCACCACATCCCAGTAATTCACAGAGTGATGCTGGTTTTGCGTATGAATATGAACAAAAATCATGTCCTTTTTGGGGATTATCTTCTTTTATGAATCCCATCACATTTACAGATACGTTTGTTTCAATGCTGCGAAGACAGAATGTTCGGGACTCCCGAAGTATGTGTATCAGGTTAAGTCAGTTTCGGGGACTGTCTTTGTTAGCCAAATGGTCATAGGTTTCAGTCCCTTTGCACAATTTGATGTAAAATAGGCAAAAAAAAATAGTTACCTCCATATTGGTACACATACTTCTGAAGCGCTGAATGTTCGAGTATAGTTGTTTTTGCAATGTATTTTGTATTTTATCATATTGATTCACTTGGCCTCGTCAGGCCTGACTTTAGTTGTCAATTGCAAGTTCGGGTTTGACACAATTCGTATTTTGAACTTGGGCCTACAAATAAACACAACAAAAGACCCAGAAGACTTGTATTAGTTCAGTTTATGAAGAACGAGTAAAGCATTATTTTAAGCAACAACAACAATTACAAAAAAAGATCGATATTTAGATATACCTTTCGTGCCCAATTCTGCGAGATTCAAATATTTCAAGCTGTCCAAGGTAAGTAGGTAACCATCAGATTCGCGACGGCAAGCGTGGTCCTAACGGTACGCCTGCTAGTTTATCATTTTGCTGTTGCTGGCCAGTGAATCGCTATCAGTAGTAATGACTATTGCCAGGTATGAAAGTCTTTGTATATTAACTTGTGAACTATCCAGTAGTTCTACCATGTTCGTGAGCTTACGGTATTCAAGTGCAGTATACAATGCAGGATTCGTATATCGCGTATTTTTTTTGGTCGTGCCTTATGATTCTATGAATCAAAATTAAATTATACAATGCCTCTTATATGTTTCTGATATTTTCATATGGTGGTTAAGGATGCGATCATTGATAATGTTGACATGCCGAAGAGTGTAGGCTACGGGTAGCGTGGTGGGTTACTAGAAATGGCTTCCCCTGCGCTCTACGGCATACAGGTATATAAACCAGTCCCTTGGGTATTCTTGCCAAAGCAAGGGTTGTAAAGTTGATACAGCGCAAAGAAACTAACCTAACCATAACCCATGGCTCCCACGTAAAAAACCTAACCAGCGAAGCTGTGCTTCTGTTTGGTTGCTGCGTCTTTCTAGCAAATCATTCATATATAGCCTAATTGAAATTACCACGTTTGGGAAAGATCGTGATTGTGAAATTTAATAATCGGTACTGTTTCGGTTTCATTCTTCAGCAGGAGCAAAGGCCTCACAAATTTGGTTCTTTGCGTAAAGTTGTTTCGCCTAAAAAAAATTTGCCATCCGTTATTTAACAATTCTAAACGTTAAGCAGATTCTTCAGCCTTTTATGTACGACAAGACCGAACAAAATGTATGTGAGTAAAGGAGATATGCTATGGGAAGTTAATGGAATTTACGTCGTCAAATAGCAGTCTCTACAGCTTTCATTATAAACCTTTAAAGCGAAAATTTTTGTCACTACTTATGATAAATTTGTCGACTTTAAGCTGTAAATATCATATCAGACCTACTACTTTTTCAGATTTAGAGGTAGGCTTGCATATTTTACTTCTTTTTGGTTATGCTAATATATCTTCCGTTTAGTTGGAGTTACATATCTGAAATTTTGGAGTGATAGAAAACTCATAAATAGTTTGATATTTATTGTTGGAAAATTTCGATCACAGTGTCAGCATAAAAATATACAAAAACATATTAAGTTATATAAAAATAACATAACCAGTTTATTGGCAGCAAATTATCAATCAGTCACGAATGTGGTGTAGTTGAAATGCAGCTCTTTGAGAACATTTCTATAGTATTACGCATATTAATAATGCTATTACGGATTCTGCATTCTACAAAATATTTACGAATAAAACTGGTTTAGTCAGACTTATTATATTCGTCCGAGAGGTGTTCCATTCGCACTTAATATATAATAATAAGTACGGATTGTTGGGCTTCCTATGTAGAGTTTATGCATCAACCGAAACGCACTTTGTCCTTGATTTTTGATCATCGGAATGCGCGCCCTGCATCGTATTTCATTCTGTGGCAGAAACGTCGTTTCAATTGCATATTCAAGCAAGTTGATGTTGTTCCACTTTGTGGATTTAATCAATATTGCAAGATCATCGGCAAATATGTTTCAAAACACGTTTCTTACATTTCTGGCATTTAACAACGCAGCACCACTGAAATTTACAGTTACATCTTTCAACTATTTCTACTGTGAATGAATCGTAACCTCTTCCACAGCATAGAAACCCGCATCCATCTTTTCCAAATGAATCTTTATTGCATTCACGACCTTTCGTACCGAGAACCCCCGTTCGAGGGTTGGGGCTGCAATAATCGGGAGAGGAATCAAGATAGACGAGATCCATCATTCCAACATCTGGACTACTTCTCTTTCTTTTCCTTAATTCCCCACGCTTGGTGACCTTGACTTCAATTGCATTGTTGTGTTTTTCCTCTAACTTTTCGCCAATTTCACGAAAACCAGGAACTTGAAGCCAGCAGGTGTTCAGACTACACGATCCTGAGACCCCATGGCACTTGCAGGTTGGGCGCGCTGCTCTGACAACAGCCTGTAAAAACATATTGATACGAAACTTGAAAAATATTTATTTTTGACCAAAAGTCCCCTCATGTGTGAAAAAAATTCAAATAACATAAAATCACTGTCGATCAAATTTGATCTTTAGTACAAAATTAGTCGAAACGGGCTTGACTGTGCTTAGTCTAACTTCTAATTTCAACGGGAGCAGCATTGAGATTAGGTTGCACTATAAGCTATCACCATAACAAACACAGCCAGTACGTCATCGGTAACGTTACCGAGCAAACACTCAAAATTACGTTCTTTCACTATATTTCTAGTGTGATAAAACCTTATTTTTGTGACAAATTAGTTTTGCGCTGTCGATGATATTTAGCCGCGGATGATATCATGTAACGATGTCGTATTTGGTAAATTAAACACACCCGAGTGGTGGGTGAGGACTTTTGGTTAACGACATCGAGTTCTCACGAAAAAGTTCAGTATATCAGGCAATGTCGCAAGAATGGGGGGTATCGGGGCGTAAGGGTCACGTTCTTATGCAAACACGCCCTCCTGAATTATAACTCTTTTCTTCTAAATTCAAAAAACGAGCATTATCATTTCTTTCTTAATTGATTCCCAGAGCAAACAAAAAATTTTAATTTTTATTTGTCGCTGTAATGTGATTAGAAGAAGGTTATGTATATTTATGATATTAGAATATATACACTATGTGTTTTTGCGTGATCACTTAAAGAATTTTTCCTCTTTATAAATTTGAATTGAAAAAAATTGAAATTTATCATATTTTCGTTTTTCACCCCGTTAACATGTCAAGCTATGCATCATTACTCTGGGAAATTAACTAGAACATGTGGGTTGATCAAAGTAAAAAATAACTAATGAATGTTGACTCCTAACCCCTTTTGATGTGGCTAGGGCGCAATGTGCGGGTACCGATATGGTTTGAAAAGTTGAACTTAAACTTGCTTCACATTCCTAAGAACTCACGAGTCATAATACACGCCATGACCCTTAAATTTTTTAAATTTAAATAAGGTTTCTATCTTATTTAACCATTTTTTTTTGTTGTTTGTAAACGATTTTTTTCGTTGAATTTCTCATATCAAATGGAAAATACTAAGAACTGACTTGAAACAAGGTCAGAAATTATATATGAATTTACATTGCACAAGATCAAATTTGAGATTTTAGGGATATATAGGTAAATCTGTAGATACCTAATGATAGGCATTCAACAAATTCTTTGCAGTAAATGGCACGTATCCCCAAGTTCGACCCACCTACGTCCCTCTTTACCTATTGTCTTGTTTTGCGTTTGATTCCTAAGTTGCGCGTAGCGAAGGCAAACAAAGATTTTGTCGTTCCCAGACTCACGTAACCGCTTGTCAACCCACGGTACGTTATACGCAAGTAGGTTGTTTATGAAAATCGGTGTAATATTGCATAATATAACAAAATATTAGTTTGTTACTTATGAACAAGTAATGAGCCGTGGCGTAAAACGTGCCAATTCCTCGTAAATTTTTTAGTAAAATCTGGAACAAATGTTCAGAACATATCATGTAAGTACCAATACCGATTTTTGGATTAAGTTATGTAGCAATAAGTTACTATGTTACTATATCATTGCATGTGTAGAAAGGTACGGGTATCATTCTCGATCCACCAGGTAAACCAAGCCATGAAACTTCAGATGGTATTGGATTAGCTGTCGTAATATTTTCTTGTATTTCCTAACCTCTGACCAAGAGAAATCCTATAATCTCTATGTTTTGGCGTGTATGTGTGGGGAAAGCTTTGGCTTGAAGGCCATCAATACTTTTTACTGTTTATACATTATATAGGCAGGTGGATGTACACCCTTTCGAGAGAACATTCTCAAATTTAATGTTTAACTTACCAATCTTCCAACTTCGTTATTATGGATGTTCATAGCTTTTTTGGCACGTGACTCTGGGCTTCGTGGTGATTGTACGTCTCTTTCTCTAGCATCAATGAATTCTCTTGCGAATCCATATGCGTAGTCGGTGTTGTCTCCGCATCCTCCCCATTCCTGAATTGAGAGATATTAGTTTTATACAAAAACTTTGACAGGGCACAAAAATTGAACTAAATAATGCCATCTGCACCAGGAAACAAGTTCAAAAGATAAAGATTGGCACTTTAATGGCTTGAAATTTAGCAAAATCCTGTCTTTCGTCATTCCGACTTGTGTAACATGCATTTATCAACGGTAGCTTGCCGATGAGAGAAAACACGCGATATTACAGACTTAACTTAATCTCAAATGAGTGTCTGTTGATCTGAGCATGACGTTCACGCTAAATTTGGCTTTATGAAATTGGCATTCGTTGGTACAGAGTTATGAATAGCTCTTAACGTTACTCACAACAAAAGTATTCATCGACGGAAATTGACTTTACGACGCATTAACTGGTATTCAATTAACAGCACGCTAGATAAAATCTTAAAGTCGTACGATTCGATGTGCGAAATTTAACTTTCATCTCAAGCCAATGGTTTTATTTTATTCAAATCTTCCAACATTTTAATTGTACGTACCCACATTGCGCCAAGGCCCTTTGGTCTTGCCTGATTACTGCAGCCACAAGCTTCGAGTTTTCCTTCTTTGCATGCCCTGGCAATCTTGTGGACGACCCCTGCGGCGGATATGGCGTAGGTAAAAGCTGTTTCTCGACTTCCTGTAACAAAAGAAAATGATTTCATGAATCAACAGTATTAGTAAATCAGTTTTAATCGGAGTACTATGTATAAAATCATATTAGACAGTTTGTTTACAAATATTCAATCACGAGTTAAGTTAATTAAGTTTAGAGTTTTATTTAAACTTCATGCTTGTTGTGAATTTGTCTGTGTATCTGTTATTCGAATCGAAATTCATCATCTATGATTTCAACAATTACTCTTCCGCCCAAATGATGTTGTTTGGCAATTCATCAAAGAGGCGCTAATGTGCTGAAATCCAATGAAATGAAATTATCGCCTGAGTGACGAAAGTTTGTCGAGTGGTAATTGAATGATGCGGTAAAATTGCTAATAAGTGTGATTAATATATCTGTTATTAGTTGATGATCGCTTCGCAAAAAATTCAGCATATCAAACGGCTGTCAACGCCATTACTCATCCAACAGCATTGCCTGCCAACCAATGTAAAGGCGGTAGGGTCCAATTTTAACCAGAATATGTACTCAGTGTCTCAGATTTGAACTCACTTCACTCTAATTTTTTCTTCCGTGTTTCAAAATACTTGTATTGTGTGAAATCACTGGGACTATTGTGAGTTTGGAGATTGGCAAATGCCAAGATTAGTTTTGGTGATGATGGACGGAATAATCCTACCCAGAAAACAATTTCACGCTTCTAGAGACTGGGACCGCAAACTGAGGGTCGATACAAACTGGGTAAAGCGATTTTTGAACTTCAACTTAATCTTGAAACTAATTTCAAATAGTGTTAAGAATAATCTCCCCAATGATATTAAGTGAATAATTCAGCCCAATTTGTACCAGCTGTTCCCTCAAGTGCCTGTCTGATTTTTTATCCATACACGTCACCGCAAGTAACCTGATACCGAACCTACTCAGACGGACGTCATCTAGGGTTGGATTTTGATTAATTCGCGACAACTGCAGCCTAATTTTCATGTCAGGGCGGAACATTCTGAACCCAAGAAAAATTCCTTGTTAGATGTAAAAACGCTTCAAAGGAACTCGAAGAGAAATTTGTTTTGTGTTTCTTTTCGTATAGGTCAAATGTCACCACAAGGTGACCGAAAATGCGTAGATCGTTACCCACAAAATTGTACAAAATCTAAAATCTTCCCATACGCACACGCAACACTGTTTTGCGTTCAGTGTATTATTAAACTTAATATTTTGTTTGGAGTTAAGCATTGCGAAGCACTTACATCTGCCATAACCTGGATGTGAATTGGGTCGTGTTTTTGAGAACAGCTGACCCATAGGAGACAGGTGTGATGGTTAACCAAACTCTGAACGGCATGCGTGTACTCGAAGTCAGAAAGTTCTACAGTGTTTCAAACTTAAACACTCAAAATACCTAAAATATATACCCAAAAGCATGCTAACGGTATTAGCTAAGATCGTTTTGGTATACTCGTCTTTATTGAGATTCATATATATTAAAATAATATGAATTCAGTTAATAGCAAATGTGGACAAAATGTAATACTTTCATAAATAGCATTTATGTTGGGATAACTAATCCAGCCAAAACATCGTGGTAGTTTACATGTCATGGTAGATCTTTTTGAAATCACAGTTTTCAGCCACCCCCAACTTGTTCAAAGTTTTTAGAAAACAAATTGTGACGCACATAGTGAATTTAACACAGTTAGTGTACCCTATTTTCTTTATTCATTGAATTGAAAAATTAGCACCGGATTCGCTTTCACGTACTTTATTCTAATTGTTTAAACATTCTTGCCTGTTTTGCCCACTCTCGAATAATGTTTAGGACACAAACCTAGAGTTTGAGCCTTTGTAAGGAAAGCGATCCTACAACAAGAATTTACTTGCTGTGATGAAGAAGAGTGACCGAAATTGTTTCGACACTGGTAGATGTTACTCTTACTTTTACTATTGAAACATTTAAAGTTTGTTATTTATTTTCTAAAATATTGATAGTTGTTTCCTTCTCGTTGCCATGTATGTCATTTAATGGAATTACTGAAACCAAAATAAAGACTACATTGATTTTTTGAAGATTGACATTGTCTAGCCTAGTCCAGCAGTTATAACATTTTGGTTAAGTACATGAACAACTCTGAAAGATATCCCAGACATGTTTCCGCATGATAAGAAGTTTACAAAACGTCTCACACCTGCGGACTCGACAAAATTGAGCGAAATGGGAATTCTTGGTTTAATTTTTACTGATCAATTAGAATGTTAAAGTCAGGGGATCTGTTTTTAAAACGATCAGAAAACAATTGGTCGTCAAAACTGATTTAGTTTACTTCACAACAAATTGAACTTGTGGCGCTGAAATTTTGACCTTAACTGATAGCTGTCTAGCTTTTTGGTTGGGTGGACATGAACTTTTGCCATAACGAAAATTTTGGTCTCGTAAATTAGACGCAGCTCGGTATGGGTCATAATTATCGCACCTCCATGGAAAAATTTGCCCTAGTTCAAGATTGACGTTCGTGTTCTCAAAACTGAAAGCGCTATTTCAATTATCGCGAAGCGTAAACGAATCATAATATTGTGATCTAAGAAGCTTGTACGGTGTTTGTTGTTTTTGAATTAGCGCGTGATCCATGACTAGAAATTCCCAGAATAGATAAAAACTTACAGTACATCAGTACTGTATGTTCCCAACGTTGTCCTAAAAATTTTGTGGCTTTTAATAAAACCTATTTAACTTTTGTCGATCCACTTTGTCAAATCAAATCAAATAACGGTTGAATAAAAATGACACCAATCGACACAGTTCACTTGGTAACTCGGAACTTATGAGCCAAACTGGGAGCGAGTCCGGTTGACCATTGAGCAACAACTCAGTTTTACGAACGCAATGCTCAATAATTTTGTTATGGTCTATATATTACTTATAAATCACGGTTATAAAAAGGATATTCAAATCTATCATAATACTCTGGAAACTTCCTGCACATTAGGAATACTGGCATTAACTGATGTAGCGGAAATGTGTTGATTTTGATAGAAGCCTGCCATTTTAGGTTTTACACGCATTTCACGGCTAATAGATTTTCTATATACAAACCCCTAATATCGGATCATTTATACGTCAAAATCACTTCCATCTATATTTTGGAAATCGGAAATCAAAAGAAAGCTATTAGGGTGTATGAACAAGGTCGTATTTATTGTTTTTATTCCGTCAAAACGGATGGAGCGCTATCTATTCCTGTCGCCGAAACAAATGTTTTAGAGGGAGGTTGGAGAAAAATACAGGGTCAAAATTGAGGTCACGGTTGCCATCTCAGCTGGATTTTAGTTGGGTTATCTTAATCTTGAAGCATCATCAAAAACCGCTAAGTAGCCTTAATTGCGGAAAACAACGAAGCGTAAACGAAATGGATATTATTTCATTGCGCAGGCGGCCGTTTGCATTAGTTAAAAAACTCGTTGTTGGTTCTGATAATTTTGGCAAGTTGTGAATGTAAACAGTCATAAAAGTCGACCACAATGCAGTGCGCGGTTGGTGTTTGTGTGGAAAAGATGATGAACGACGGAACCCATTCATTCGTACGTCCCAACTGTCCACTATTACCAGATTTTTCGCAAGAACATATTGTAGTAGTTTCATAAAACAACTTTTAGATTCTCTGAACCACGTCATATATATAAATTCTCCCAAAAATAAAAATGAATCTTACCTATATCAATCACTTTCCCGAACAATGTGCTAGTGTTGAGATCAACATTTCGTTTCTTGTTTTCGGCGGTCGTACAATTCCATCTGTTTGCTCTAAACTGCCATTGACATTCATCAATTCCTTCTTTTGCTCCTTCGCTCACGAATTCGATGTGATCTCGGTATCTTTCACACAATGTCCGCTGACTGCGGGACAAACTTCGCATTTCACTACAAGGAATACTTTCATCAGCGGCTCGATTCAGAGACTTCTTATTCGACCCCAATTCCCTGTAAAAATGAAATTGAGAGAATATTATTTAATGTCTTGATATGATACGAAATATGCGTAGGAGATATTCGTAATTTTCATCTGTAGCTTGGATGAAACGAATCAACAGTTACAAGTGGGCAAATTTGCTTTTTACCTAAATGGAACGTTTAATAGTTCAGAGGCTGAGTCAAGGTTACCTTTGAAGAGTAAGCTGCCAGCCGTCGCCAGTCATGGGTCAAACTATAGTTCCCGTTAACACTTCGCCGCTTGTTGTTAGGTTTCCCATTAATTTACCATATATTGACGGCATTTTGGCAATAAATGGTGAATGGCATAACAAAGGGTAAGATCGTTAATCTATTCAAATCGGATTTAGAAAATATTTTTCACTTTTTGTACACTAAAAGTTTTATTCATTATGGGTGGCGGTAACTGGGTCTTGCTACGGTTTGTGGCGAACAAGTAGCATGTCAGTGAAATGGTGATAACACAACAGTAAGTAAATCAAACAAATGCTAAAGCCTTAAAAATGTAGAATATTCACCCTTTTTGCTGTACTACATTTACATTTCTATTTTGCAATTTGTTCGATGATGATATTTGGATCGGATACATATACTTCAATTTTAAAGAGTTTTCTGGTATATGTTAGGTAATTCTATATTTATTTTCAAACTTATTCCTCATTCTATATAAAAGTCTGGCTTATTATATAATATTTACATTTGGCAAAACGAGCACAAAATTCCCTACTTGAACCTCGTCAAAAAACATCAAAAAGATAGATCTCCAAAGAAATCATTGTGTTCTACTATTTCAATAAGAATGATATTTTCCTACATCAAAATATTATGAGTATTACAAAGAATGACGCACTAATTCTATTTGAGTTTCTATTGAGTTTTACATGTTTCGTCATTTAAATTTGAGATATCATATCAGAAATCTACCAAACGATGTAGTGCAGAATAATAGCGTCCTTATAGTTTGGGGCTATTCTGTACCATAAAAGTTTATTTATTCAACGATGTGTTTTTTGATCAAATCTATAATTACACAAAACTGTGAGAAATTATTGGCAAAAGACCATTAGTTTTATCAAAAAAGATTATTTGGTCAAATTAATGCAAATATAAGCACCGACTTGAACTGAACTTTGATAATCTTGGGTAAAAGTGCAAATATTTAGCCGTTCTTTCACATTTACTAGATATATGATGCTGGGAAGAGTTATTGGCTAAATCATTATGATATAGATTATAGAACATACATGGGATGAATTTTACTTGTTGATTTGATATTTTAAGTTATCCATTCTTTCATTCATTATTATTCAAGTTATGTTATCAGGTAACTTAATGTCCAGAATAGATTAATTATGACTATTATGTTCGCTATCGGTATATTCTGATTTGAAAAAAAAATATATCCACAATATCTTTTTGGGATTTTGGACGAAATTGGACACACTGTACATACAATTACATCATTGTAATATAATAATACAAATAACAAAACTTACCACCATTCAGATCGTGCTCCTGCTATCAGTAAGACGACGATAAGTTTAACAATGACTCTCGGTCGATAATCACAGATTGTGCTGATAATATACGCCATCGTAGTCTGCTAAATTCCTCAAAATTCCCGATATCGAAAATATTCTTTGGTATAGTAGTCTTGTGGCTTTTACTCAATGGTAAGTAAGACAATGTCTGCTCTGGCACAAAACGTTAGCTAGGTAGGTAAAAATAAGACTGAATAGGACGAAACAAAAATAGCTGTGAATTATTTTCGAAAAAATGACGCTATACCAATGGTAAAAAAATACATAAATTTTCTCATGTCGGCATTAGCTCAGCTTCGCCTAGAACAAATTTGAAGTAATAACGTCTAATCTATGCTTTAAACTACAAAGCGGCCGAACGATTGAAGCCAGCAGGAGAAAGCTTCTCACCTAAACACGCGCTTGTTTATTATATCGCACCTTAGAAGCGACAAAAGTATGTCTCGATTTAGCCACACGTCCGAGATTAAAACTTTCAATCAAGCGTGGATTATAGATATATTGCTCAAGTAGCCGTGATATCTCAATATTTCATACTTGAACAGTAAACAAATGTCTCACCTAGTTAATGCGAATAAATTGGGAGATTTATCTCCTTTTGGTAAAATTGAGGCGCTAAAATTATTGTAATAACTTGGAACAATTTGTCAGGATTAAGAAGCAAATTTAACTATAACTAATTGATGGAAATTATATATGCTCGATTTTTCTCAGATTTCTAAAGATGTGTTGTTCAGAATGAAAACAATTCAGTACAAATAAAAAAATATACATATTTATTTTTAAATATCAATTGAACACATTAAATGAGTGGATATCAGGATATTCTTAGGGCAAAAGGTTAAGATAAAAAATAACATTTCTTATTAAAGTTTAGCTCATATTAAGATAGATTACTGTGAAGCGTTCCCCGTTCTTGTAGCATTCCTTGTGTAGTATTTATCAGAATTTTATCACAAGATTATTTTATGTTTGTTCGGAATAAACACCAACTCTTTACCTATCCTGTATTGCCTTTCTGCCTTTAGATAGCAATTTTTATGTAAAGTCGTGCAAAGTTGGATCGCGTCCATACTTTACAAACCTAATTCTTACATAGATACTATTCTTCACAGTGCCATACTCTCCTAAACCTAATCGACACTTTTAACATTCTATCTGCCAAATTTTCTCCAAATTTAGCACAAATTTCTTTTAATCCGTCGCTTTTCAAAACATTACATTAAATCCCTTTAAATCCATAGCGTAGTTGTTACTACATGTTATGTTGGTATGAACACGCTATAATCTATTTGTGTTTACTTTTATTAAATTTTGATTTAACTTAAAAACAATAACGTCAAAACAGACCTCCTGATTTCAACATATTATTTCGTCAGCTATATATATATATTCACGAAACATCCAACTGAAACTGACCTACGCTATTGTTATGCAGGTCAGTTTAAAAACTCTGACCAGGGCCAGTTTATACTGAATTAACATGAATTAATCATTTTTTATACTGGTCAAAAGCCTCCTGTTTTGGTCAAACTTAGTCAAATTCTCCAAACTTGCAAAAATTCTCGAACACTGACTGCACAAATTAATTATAGCTTTTGCACAGAAACGTACAAGCACTCTTGAATAATTATCTAGTCATCTACATTTACTCGCACTCGAAAAATTTCTTTATTTTATTAGGTAAACTTATTGTAATACGTGGTGCCGTAAATCACATCAAATATAGGGCTCTCTAACGTATTATTACAGCTTCCGTTTTTAATTATAAGATACGGTCGTAAAGATAGATTTAGCAAGGTAGTCATACGCATCATTCAGTTTTCAAATTACTTAGCCTAATGTATTCAACCAAATGATAGGAAATAAAAATCGATATCCGTACAAATCCAATTTGAACTTGTCTATAAAATTGAGTTAGGTTTTTGACACGTATTTTTGATGAATATCGCTAAATATATTAGAGAGTTGATCTGTGATCTGAAAATGCAAAAGTTATGTCTAAGCACGAAGTTGTTGATGAGAAGTACAGAAACATGATTAATCAGTGGCCCATGCAAGGGCGTAGTATTTTACTATATTGCGTATACTAAATAGTATTTCGATATATATCCATTGAATTGACTTAGTATTATAGTGACCTATGGGTTGATCATTTCTCAATTTGGTTAAATTCAAAGACTAAGATCTGCTAACCGTTTTGAAACATTCCTTACTAAAACCGCGCTCTGGGAAGAGAACTATTCTGAAGTGACTAGAATTTGGTTGTCGCCTCCGTTTATAACTGTCCTACTATTCGCACTCTCGTTCGGCGCTGCGATGGGAACATTAGCCTCCTTCTAACACTTTTCACTTTATCTATCGCAGTTATGCCACCATATCGCAAAGCGATTTTTCACTTTTTGCTCTTATGTTATGATAATGCTAACAATATAATACCATGTAATAAGTCATTTCGTTTAGCACTAAAATTGCGTGCTCTCGTATCGATCTAGAAAATTTCTCACTTCTGAGAATTGAGACGCTATGTGCACCGCTGTGATCCCGGTAAATCACCCCGTGGTCGTCTAGCTCTGAAAAATACATACAAAAAGTCTATATACCTACAAAGCGGAATATGGTGCGTGAAACGCTCTTGGAATGATTGCTCAAATATACAGTCTCCAGTTCATTCGTATCCTAAGCTATTTGATGCACCTGGGTCTGCCGCTTCAACCCCCAATTCCCATTAATAATAATAATTGTCATCTTGTACGCCGGCGGGCTGTATTAAAATTCCAAGAGTTTTGCGTGAAATAATGCGTCATAATTGGAGAGTCACGCAAGAAAAATTACACCAGAAAAACTATTACCGGTAGAAACAATTTTAACGAAATTATTTTGTGTTGACCAAATTATTCTTTAATCACAGGAATGCGACCACAAAATTGTAGGTTTCCAATTTTGTTTTATATAATTTTACCTTCAACAATAATACCTCATGTATTTATATTTTTACTGAGGTGGCAACTTATTCCCAGCAGCAAACTGTAATTTTTGAATGTTTCAGCTGCTTTTATACCTTTGCGAAACTTGGATTTAAGCCACTTGGATTCAACTTGCAAAACTGTCTTTTCCCACGCTGCGCATGGGTGATTTTACAAAAATATAAAATATATTTTGAGTAGTATAAGTTGACGACGCACGCAAAATCTTCAAATTTCAATTCTTAATCCAAAAATATTTTTCGTGGCAAAGGCTAAAAGCGCAACGTGCCTGAACGTTTTTTTTTTTCGTGAGAATATAAACTGATTTCTTGGGTATTTTAAATATGGCCTACAGTCTCAATATAAAACTTAATCATATTTCAAACCAGAAAATTCTAGTATTGTGCTGCTCTGGGTGTGTTGTCTTATCTTCCGTATAATCTATATCTTCGTACAGTTACGAAGCAGTAGATTCATGCCCAATTACAGTTAACAATAGCATTGGCAACATAAGTCATCTACACCGGTTACTATAATTGATATGCCACCACTGCTATCTGAGTTACCCAAACCTAATACGAATTCAGTACTAGTGCTGGTGTAACTTAAAACCGTGGAAATCTATACTCGGCACTTCAAAATTCACTAAATCCGAGAAAGCCAGAGAACCGTGAAAATGATTTTCTTTCAATTTTCCATAACAGAAAACTGCAATATATGACGCCAATATCACGTCGAAACTGCTACATAACAATTCTATCCATTCATTCGAAGTCGAGCCAATATCTACAGAGTCACAAAGGTTAGCCTTCCAGATCGTCCAAGTTATAAAGGAACGGAAAACCGCACTTCTCGAATCCGACAAAGTACTTCGCATCGTTCGCTTGTTTGCACTTAGTTGTCTCAAGCTATTATTCTTTCGTAGACACTGGCAATTCAATGACAGTATTCTGTCATAAATCAAAATAAATTCAATAAAAAGCGTCTTTTCATTTTAAAAAGTATATCAGATATAGCTAGATTAAATCGTAAATTAAACGTTTTTCGACAATTGACGCACGCAAAACAAATAAACGAACGCCGAGAAGAAATTTTGATGCCTTTTTATCGATCTGACAGAAAATGAGTAACCAAATCAGTAAGATATAAAAAATGCACCTACCTCTAAGATACAGTTCTAGATTTACGTAAAATAATCGCAAATCTGAGATAATATTAGCCCACTGTTCGTCAAGTACAGAGGAAAGAAGTTAGGTAGTGTTGATATTTAAATCCCCGCAGATATCACTTTTCATCACTTCTGTAACACTGACAAATAGTCCAACTGAATAAATATTTCATGCTTGATAGTAATTTGTCATTTTTCTATGCATATTTATCAATTTAAAAGGCCGAGGTAGTTCTGATGTGGGACTCCAGAATAAACCTTGACAAATTTCTGTCTTAAGTCTGTTGCTTCATGTATAAGTTAGAATTTCGAACATATAAAAGACAAATGTTGCTCTTTGCCGTGGTGTATGACGCAGCATACCTCTATTTCCCCTACCAGTGGAAAAAATGACAATGACGGAATATCATTTAAGATATTTCCGCCGTTTGATGTCATATCCGAACATTAGGTCTAATATTGTATTTTCTTCAGGAAGCGAGTCTCAAGTGTGTGACCATAAACTCACTTTAGCGCGAAATCGCGACCAAATTTAAGTCATCTTACGCACAATTTTCAATAACCCATGAAATTCCAACAAATGACATCGGTGTTAATGATTTTGTTGGTTACTTACTCACGTCGCCTTCTAAAACAACCGATTTAATATGACCAAGATAAATAAATAAGTCCATCCTCTACAGAATATTTTGTACATAGATACATTGCTGTCACAAAACACAATACCAAGGATAAGTTTCTGAATTTTCTACGTAAATAATACTCCATATATTCGGCAAGAGTAAAAAATGGTGCCGAACCTTTAGATTCGTAATCAGGTCCAGATCTGTGATTAAACAAGTCGTCGAAAAAATATTTTTGAATTCATGACGGGTTAGAAAGCGTGTATATTAACTGTGACCTATAAAAACTTTAGTCTATGAAATATGGCTCGATAGTCTTAAAATTATTTTGCTCAGCTCACGCGTGGTTTTACTGCTGTGTGTATGTAGTATTTTCATGAGGATATACTGTCCAAATGACAAAATATTCTTGTTCTATGTTATGGCTTCAGAGTTGATAGAATTTTAGCATATGTTCGAGGTTGTAATAGTTATAATAAACATGTATATTATATTCTTCTTTGAACGGATTAGCATGACTTCTTGAGGTCCACAGTCGTCAAATGGGGGGGGGGGGGGGGGGATCTTATAATATGAACCACGGACTAACAGAAGGTTGCTCATATAAACGAGTTGTTTTCATCCGCTTATTTGATTAAATTGGACGTTTGAAACTGCTTTACAGTACCGTTCAATATGCTAGAATTTTCTTCCA